ACAGGATCCGTCTCCCAGGCTCAACTGATCCTCCTGCCTCAGCCTTCCAAGTATTAATAGCTAGGACGTACCACCAGGCCGTTAATTTTTCTTTTAATTTTTAGTAGAGATAAGGTATCACTATGTTGCTCAGGCTGGTCTTGAACTCCTGAGCTCAAGTGATCCTCCCACCTTTGGCCTCCCAAAGTGCTGGGATTATTGGTGTGAGCCACTGCACCTGGCCCAAAATATACATTAGTCAACCATTTATGTTATCAGTAAGGCTTCCAGTGAACAGTGAACTTAGTTAAGTTTTGGGGAAGTGAAAAGTACTATGTGGATTTTCAACTGCGTGTGGGGGATGGGTGGTGTGGAATGGAGTGTCCATGCCCCACATTGTTCAAGTTATACTTAACAATACTTAAGTTATAACATACTTAAGTTATAACAATTTTTTCCATATTTGTAAAATGCCTATTTTCTACCAGAGTGTTTATGCTCATAACAGCTCTTTATCACATATTGCAAATATTTTCCCCAGATTTTCCTTGCCATTTTAAGTTTGCTGGGTTGTGTTAACTGAAGTTTTACATTTATTTCTTCAATTACTTTTTTTTTTTTGAGACCTGGTCTTACTCTGTGCCCAGGCTGGAGTACAGTGGCACCATCACCACTTACTGCAGCCTCAACCTCCCGAGCTCAAGCAATCCTTCCACCTCAGTCTTCCAAGTAGCTGGGGCTGCAAGTGCACACCCGAACACCTGGCTATTTTCGTACTTTTTGTAGAGAGAGAGATGCACCATGTTGCCCAGACTGGTCTTGAACTCCTGGGCTCAAGCAATCCACCCACCATCTTGGCTGTAACCCAAAGTGCTGGGATTACAGGCATGAGCCACTGTACCCAGCCTCAATTACTTTTATAGTTTCATTTTTACATTTAACCTTTAATCTATTGGAAGTTTTAATATAAAGTATGGATCTATATATTTTTCTAAGCAGTCAGCTATCTAGCCTTGCTTAAGACTCACTTGTTTTATAGCCTAAATTCCTATATGAGCTTGTACCTGATTCCAGACTTTGTTTCATTGGTCTTGCTATTCTGGTGTTTGCAAATGAATCCGTAATAGGTTTTGGTGTTTACAAGGATAAGTCTCTTGCCTCCTTTGAGAATATTTTCTTGGCTATTTTCAGACATTGATCCTAGCAGATGAACTTGAGCATTGTTTCCTCAAAATCAAAAAATAAATGTTTAAAAACTTTACGGACATATTTGAGAAGCACATTAAAAGTATAAATTCAGTTCAGGAATTAACTGCTTTTAGATAGTATGTAGGAGCCGGGTGCAGTGGCACGTGCCTGTAGTCCCAGCTACTTGGGAGGCTGAGGTGTGAGGATCGCTTGAGCTCAGGAGTTCTGGTCTGTAGTGCACTATGCCAATTGGGTGTCTGCACTAAGTTCAGCATCAACATGGTGACCTCCCAGGAGAGGGAGACCATCAGGTTGCCTAAGGAGGGGTGAACCGGCCCAGGTCAGAAAAGGAGCGGGTCAAAACTTCCGTGCTGATCAGTATTGGGAATGCACCTGTGAACAGCCACTGCACTCCAGACTAGGCAACACAGCAAGACCCCATCTCTTAACAAAACAATACTAGATAGTATGTAAGAATCTTCTCTGTACAACATCTATCATAGCCCCGACCACAGGAATGTCATGATTAATCAATAAATGAAGCACTGGCCACACACAGGCCACATGAAGCATTCATTCTCCCTCTCTCCCTGTGCCTCTGACTCCCTCGCCACCTCACAATCTCCTGTTGCACCCCAGTTGCCCAGGAACTGGCCTGAGCCTACTTTCCCTAAAGCACTCTATGTGCCATACCTTATTTGGCTGCTGCCTTCCTTCTCCCTATTCAAACCTGACGGCCCAATAACCTACAACAAATCAATCCTACCATGTAACTGACCAGCTCTATAATGCAAAGCATGTGGCCCAAAATGTGTCAGTGCCTCCTTTTACAGCCAGAGTTGAGGCAAAGACTGTCCAACTATCTACGTGAGATGTCCTGAAACTGGTTAACATCAACAGACAGCCAGAGGGGGATCTATGACGCAGCAGGGAGGCTGCACCAAGCCTCACCACAGCTGGCGGCACCATCCCATAAGCCAGGTCACCTACCTCCCTTTAATGACTCCAAGCTCACCAAGTAAGCCAATGTGGCTTTCTAGCCTGCTGACAACAAGGAGGAATTATCTATGAAAGGGCTCACTAAAAAAGGTTAAGTACCATCATAAATGGTTAGATTGCAATTTCTATGAGGTTAGCTTGAGTCCTTTTCCCCTCCGGCCTCTGTGATCAATAATGGGTTTTTTTTTTTTTTTTGAGATGGAGTCTCACTCTGTGCCCCAGGCTAGAATGCTCACTGCAACTCCACCTCCTGGGCTCAAGCGATTCTCCTACCTCAGCTTCCGAGTAGCTGAGATTACAGGCACCCACCACCACACCTGGCTAATTTTTGTATTTTCAGTAGAGATGGGGTTTCACCATGTTGGCCAGGCTGATCTTGAATGCCAGACCTCAAGTGATCCTCCCACCTCAGCCTTCCAAAGTGCTGGGATTATAGGCGTGAACCACTGTGCCTGGCTTAATGGGTATTCTGACAGACAAGTTTCCAGGCCTGCAAAGATGAAAGCAACGCTTTTGATAGTGATAACCTCCTATCTTGCTAAGTGAGTCAGAGTATACCCCTTTTAATTATAATGTGTAGCTCAATTTATAATTAAGAATGTATTCCCAGGCCAGGCATGGTGGCTCACACCTATAATCCCAGCACTCTGGGAGGATGAGGCAAGCAGATCACTTGAGGTCAGGAGTTCAAGACCAGCCTAGCCAAAATGGAGAAACCCTGTCACTACTAAAAAATGCAAAAATTAGCTGGGCGTGGTGGTACATGCCTGTATTCCCAGCTACTTGGGAGGCTGAAGCAGGCAAATCACTTGAACCCGGGAGGTAGAGATTGCACTGAGCCAAGCATATTGTTTTATGTATGTATATACACATAATATATACATACATACATAAAACTATGAATGTATTCCTGAAACAATATACTACATGTGTAAGGCTCAGACTCCCATGCCCATAGGCCCTTTCTGAAAAAAGAAGCTACAGACATTCCTGGTCAAGAGTTGACATGATTTGTGTCATCTGAGTCAGGCTATGGCTGATTAGATCAAGAATTTTCACTCTAGCCTGAGGTAACCTACAAACTAATCACAGGTACTCTAGGGCCATAAGGGCCACATGTCATAAAGGCCCTGTGGCCTACAACAGGCTTAATGAATACACATGGCCCCAAAAGGCTGCTCCCTTATGGAGAATAACTGTGCCAGTCAGATTATCTCTCCTGGGAAGACAAAGAAGCTGAGAGAGCCTTACACAGAACCAAAAGGCACTCACTCAAAGTTTCTGAAGGAAATTGTGAGAATCTGACTCAAATCTCAATTCAGCCACCTACTAACCGGTTGATCTTGGGTAAATAACTTAATTTCCTTTTTTTTTGAGAGATACTCTCACTCTGTCTCCCAGGCTGGAGTGCAGTAGCACGATTTCAGCTTACTGTAACATCTGCCTCCTGGGTTCAAGTGATTCTCCTGCCTCAGTCTTCTGAGTAGCTAGGAACAAAGGTGCGTGCCACCATGCCTAATTTTGTATTTTTAGTAGAGACGGGATTTTGCCATGTTGGCCATGCTGGTCTTGAACTCCTGACCTCAAGTGATCCACCCACCTCAGCCTCCCAAAGTGCTGGGATTACAGGCATGAGCCACCATGCGTGGCCCCTAAATTATTTCTCTAAGCCTCAGTTTTCTGTTCTATAAAACTGAGACAATGATAGGTGTACATTATATAATACTTGTACAATTGTGAGAATTACATAGAGTGAAAAACATAGGCTGGGTGTGGTGGCTCATGCCTGTAATCCCAGCACTTTGGGAGGCCGAGGTGGGCGGATCGTAAGACTCTGTCTCAAAAAAAAAAAAAAAAAGATTAAAAAAGAAAAAAAAAAAAAAAAAGCTGGGCACGGGTGGCTCATGCCTGTAATCCTAGCACTTTGGGAGGCCGAGGTGGGTGGATCACCTGAGGTCAGGAGTTCAAGACCAGCCTGGTCATCATGGAGAAACCCCATCTTTAAAAAAAAAAAAAAAAAAAAAAGATTAAAGAAAAAAAAGACTCTGTCTCAAAAAAACCAAAAGAAAACAAAAAACCATGAAGATACTCTAAGAATGTTATGAAGTTGTCAGGAAGGAAAAAAACCATAAAGAATTCAGCAGTCTTTGGCCAGGAAGACTTCTCAATGTATGAACATGACTGTTCTTACTACCTTTTAGGTCGCTGGAGCTACTGCTTTGTCCAAGGAGTAGCAAGCAATCTGCTTTTTTTTTTTTTTTTTGAGATGGAGCCTCCCTCTGTCACCCATGCTGGAATGTAATGGCGCAATCTCGGTTCAAGAGATTCTCCTGCCTCAGCCTCCTGAGTAGCTGAGACTACAGACGCCTGCCACCATGCCCAGCTAATTTTTTGTACTTTTCATAGAGATGGGGTTTTGCCATGTTAGCCAGGCTGTTCTCAAACTCCTGACCTCAGGTGATCCGCCTGGCTCGGCCTCCGAAAGTACTGGGATTACAGGCACGTGCTACCACACCCGGCCAAAATCTGCTCCTAATTACCCTGCAAAAATCCCAGGAGACTCTCAACTCCAGGGAGACCCTGACTGCTCTGCAGCCTCTTCCCACCTCCCTCAGACACTTGGGCTGGTGGACAGTCATGTCATAATCCATCCCTCATAACCCCCATGTTAGAGAGACATTTATAAGGAAGACCAATATATTTCAGAGCAGCATACCTGGAAAAATGCAAACCCTGGGGTGTCATCAATCCAAAGTTACCAGGGAAAAGGGGAAAGGCAAATGCTGAAGCTGTTCCTGAACAGTTCTTGGATTTCAGATACAGAAAATACTTACTAAAAGCATCTACTGCCTTTGTCAGATTGTTCTGGGCAGACCTGAAAACATAAAATAAAATAAAGTATTTTTCCTTTTGAAAAAAAAAAGAAAAGAACAAAAATATGATCACATTTTCATTTAAGTCTGTAAAAACCCTGTCTTCTACCAGGTCTGAGGTACATTTCCAGTGACCTGAAAGCTCCTTGCCCCAGGTGTCCCTTCACGGCCGTGCCCTCGTTCCAGGTGTTTAAAGTCCCACCTGGGTGCCTCTCTATTAACTATGGAAGACAATTCTTTCAGATTACACTTATTGTATATGTTTATGCATATCTTTCTCAGTAATACTTCAGGCAGTACAGCAATACCCTTTATCCTGTTGCTTTTTTTTTTTTTTTTTGAGATAGGGTCTCTTCCGTTTCCCAGGCTGGAGTGCAGCAATGCGATCTTGGCTCACTGCCATCCCCACCCCGTAGGCTCAAGTGATCCTCCCACCAGCAAGCCTCCCACCTCAGTCTCCTGAGTAGCTGGGATTACAGGTGCACACCACCACACCCAGCTAATTTTTTATAGTTTTGGAATTAGTGGGGGCCTCACCATGTTGCCCAGGCTGGTCTCGAACTTCTGAGCTCAAGTGACCCACCTGCCTCAGCATCCCACAGAACTGAGATTACAGGCATGAGCCACCACACCTGACCTATCCTGTTGCCTACAAACTAGAAATAATCTGTGAGTACTCGATTTTCTACCACCCTTACTATGAAAAAGTTCCTTGTTGTTAAAACTCATCAGAGATTTTTGTTGTTACTGTCTGCGTCCTGAGAGGCGGTTGCTTTGGATGTGGATCATGAAGGCTTTCTTGAAGTTAGCTTTCATTCATGTCCTTGCCACTATGACTGTTTGGGTGTTGAGAACCAAGAGACTTTGGCAGGTACTGTACTCTCAATTGGCTTCCCATCAAAATTCAAGCACTGAAGGGTGATGATTGCTATGTGCTTTCTGATGAGGTGTTTTTGGGAAGTGGATATCCTGTGACCAACGTGTGGCAAGATTTTTATATGTTATATGTTTTTATACCAACAGTGGCATCAAATCTCAGGTTTTAAAAGGGAAGGTTATTTTTCATTCTGTACTAATATTTACCTCAGGAACATTTCCAAGGTAAGGTTTCATACTTATCTCCTGCCCTGCTAAGAGAGGTGGGTTTTCATCACAACCTACAATTTCATTTATCCATACAAGGCAGGTCAAATCACTGGCTTGGGCAGGGCATGGTGGCTCATGCCTGGAATCCCAACACTTTGGGAGCCCGAGGCAGGCTGATCATTTGAGGGCGGATTACTTGAGGTCAGGAGTTTGAGACCAGCCTGGCCAACACGGTGAAACCCTGTCTCTACTAAAAATATTTTTAAAATTAGCTGGGTGTGGTGGTACACCCCTGTAATCCCAGCTACTCAGGAGGCTGAGACATGAGAATCGCTTGAATCCGGGAGGCGGAGGTTGCAGCAAGCTGACATCTGGCCACTGCACTCCTGCCTGGGCGAGATTCCATCTCAAAAAAAAAAAAAAAAAAAAAATCCCTGACTTTTCCAGGTTACTGAGACTACTGCCGAAACACTATACAATGCTTGAAATCATGCTCCAAAGCTTAAAACATATTTTTCTTATTCATCCACCAAGACTGATGAAGTCAAGGAAGTATCTAACATTAGATCACTGTACATCCTAAGCCTCATTTTCACTGCAATGGGAAACGGAAGTGGGCTATATAATGTGATATATGGAGCAACTGCAGCTATCTGAGGACTGAGCAACATGCCTAAACTACAACAATCCTGATGACGGCAGAGTTCTTATTGATACCGTGTGCTTTTATTCATCTACAGTGTCAATAAAGCAGACATTTCCTTTCGTGATTCCTTCTGAGAAATAAGTTTTTAATTATACTAGAATCATATTCAATAAAACTCTTCAGAACCGTGAATGCCCTCCTTGTAACAAGGCTGGGGGACACACAATGATCTACTGGTCGAAACAAGGGCTTTAAAGTCAGCAGCCTGGCTTTGCCACTAATTAGTTAGTTATGTGATTTTAGACAAGTGACTTCATTTCTCCAACTATTTCCTCATTCAAAAAAAAAATTATTCTACTATACCCTTAACAGCTTCTAATCACACCAAGAAAATGCAAACCTCCTTACCTTGGCTTACATAATCTGACCCTGCCTACTGCATCTACTTCCTTCTTGGAGTCCAGAGCCCACCACATCCATCCCACTGCCTGGCTTTGGCCAAGGCCACCTGCTGACCTTCATGTCTCACTAGGCAGGTCTCAGGGAGCCACCCTACTCTCCACCCCACTGACCCCTTTCAGTCTTCCTAACATTCACTTTGCTATTTTCTTACATGTGTTATTGTCTACCACTCCTTCTAAAATTAAGTCCCATAAGAACAGGGACTTATCTGTCTTGTCCACTCCTATATTCCTCAGGCATGGAAGAGGGCTGCCACGAGTCAGTGCTATTTGTAGAACAAAGACACAGAACCTCCAAATTTGGGAGATGATTCAGGAAGAGAGAATGCTACAAAGGCTGAGCAGTATTTCTAGAAGTGCGCCTGCTTAAGTTACAGAACCCTTCATCCACCTCCCCAAACTGGCAGTTTCTTGAAAACAGGGATGGCTGGCATTTGTCCTCTAGGACCAACACCAAACATGTGCTGATGGAATGGGCTCAGTTTTCGTGGAATTTGTGGTATGCATCTTCACAAACTCCTTCCCCAATAACCACTGGTTTGTGCTTTAAAAGAAAATGTTTCACCATGTTGCCCAGGCTGGTCTCAAACTCCTGAGCTCAAACAATCCACCTGCCTCGGCCTCCTAAAGTGTTAGAATTACAGGTGTGAGCTACTGTGCCTGGTCCCAGCCACAGATGTTCCTAATGGGACCTACCTAGAATGATGAATCCTTCTCAGAAGGTTTACAATTTACTTTGCCTAGACCTGAGGAATCATCTATGGCAGCTACCCTCATGAAATATATTCTTAAATAATAAGACTTGAAAGTTGAAAATAGCCATGCATGGGAGCACACACCTGTAGTCCCAGCTACTTGGGAGGTTGAGGCAGGAGAATAACCTGAACCCAGAAAGTGGAGGTTGCAGTGAGCTGAGATCACACCAACACACTCCAGCCCGGGCCACAGGGTAAGACACTCTCTCTCACTCTCTCTCACTCTCACACTCACTCTCTCTCTCTCTCTCTCTCTGTGTGTGTGTATTTTTTTCAATAATGTTGTAAACAAATGTGCTTCCATCCAGGCTTTGTCATTCCATTTCTAGAGAACAGGCAGAGTAGCTGTAGCATGATTCTTAAGGGCCACAGGATTTCTGGAATGGTAAACAAGCATTGGCTTCAACTTAGAGTCATTAGCTGCATTAGCCCTTAACAAGAGTCGGCCTGTTCTTTGAAGGTTTGAAGCCAGGCGGTAACTTCTCTCTAACTATAAAATTCCTAGATGGCTGTAATCCCAGCACTTTGGGAAGCTGAGGCGGGTGGATCACGAGGTCAAGAGATCAAGACCATCCTGGTCAACACGGTGAAACCCCGTCTCTACTAAAAATACAAAAAAATTAGCTGGGCATGGTGGCGCGTGCCTGTAATCCCAGCTACTCAAGAAGCTGAGGCAGGAGAATTGCCTGAACCCAGGAGGTGGAGGTTGCAGTGAGCCGAAATCGCGCCATTGCACTCCAGCCTGGGTAACAGCAGCGAAACTCTCTCTCAAAAAAAAAAAAAAAAAAAAAAAAAAAGAGAGAGAAAACCTGTTGTTTAGTGCAGCTATCTTTATCCATTATCATAGCCAGATCTTCTGGATAACTTGCTGCAGCTTCTCTATTAGCACTTGCTGTTTCACTTTGCACTTTTATGTCATGGCGATGGTTTCTTCCCTTGATCCTCATGAACCAACTTCTGCTAGCTTCAAATTTTTCTTCTAAAGATTAGCCTTTCTAAAAAATACCAAAAAGTAAAGAGCACCAACATAAAGAAGAATTTACATCAACGAATGGATAAAACAACCAGTTAACATTAAATGGCAGTAACCCTAAATTTAAATCGACTAAATCCCCCAATCAAAAGACACAGCCAAAACCCAACAGCATGTTACATCCAGACCTGTTTCACATGCAAGGATACACAAAGACTCAAAACAAAGGAATGGAGAAAGATTTACCAACCAAATGGAGAGCAAAAATAAATAAATAAAAAGCAGGAGTTGCAATTCTCGTATCGGATAAAATAGATTTTAAAGCAACAAAGATATAGTGGTAAAAGGATCAACGCAACAACAAGAGCTAACGATCCTAACACCCAGATACGAGACTTAGATTCAATGAGACAGAAAATTAATAAGGATATCAAGGACTCGAACTCAGATCCAAAACAAGTAAACTTAATAAATATTTATAGAGCTCCCCACTTCAAACACACAAAATATACATTCTTGTCAATACCACATCACACCTACTCATAGGTTTAAATGAAACATTGATTGGCCATTATTAATACCCATTTTTTTTCAGAATAAAGCAATATTTCCGTTCACCCTCCCTCTTTCTCTTCCTCTCCTTTACTCATTTTTTTTTCTTTCCTTCTCTCAAAAAAAAGAAATCAACTTGTAAACCTCTAGATCCAGGTCGGCAATGTCTCTCTCATTGCTTGATTTCCTTCCTTCCCTTCCCTCCCTCCCTCCCCCCTTCCTCCCTTCCTCCCTTCCTTCCTTCCTTCCTCCCTCCCTTCCTCCTTCCTCCCTTCCTCCTTCCTCCCTTCCTGCCTTCCTTCATCCCTTCCTTCCTCCCTCCCTCCCCCCTTCCTCCCTTCCTGCCTTCCTCCCTTCCTTCCTTCCTCCCTCCCTTCCTCCTTCCTCCCTTCCTTCCTCCCTCCCTTCCTCCTTCCTCCTTCCTCCCTTCCTCCTTCCTCCCTTCCTCCTTCCTCCCTCCCCCCTTCCTCCCTTCCTGCCTTCCTCCCTTCCTTCCTTCCTCCCTCCCTTCCTCCTTCCTCCCTTCCTCCTTCCTCCCTAAAAAAAAAAAGATTCCTCCTGTCTCTCAGGCTCCGCAGAATTGAGGAGAGGGCTTGCTGTGGATTAAGGCTTCGGAGAATGTTGTGGCTGCTTTATCTTCTATCCAAACTGCTAAAACCTTCTCTATCAGCAATAAGCCTGTTCCGCTTTCTTTCCATTCATGTGTTCCCTGGAGTAGTAGCTCTTTTGACTCCCTTTAAAAACTTCTCCTTTGCATTCACAACTTGGCTGTTTGGCACAAGAGGCATAGCTTTTGCCTGTCTCAGCTTTCTATACATCTTCCTTGCTAAGCTTAGTCATTTCTTGATTAGTCATTAGTGGGCATGGTGGCAGGCGCCTGTAATCCCAGCTACTTGAGAGGCTGAGGCAGGAGAATTGCTTGAACCCAGGAGGCAGAGGTTGCAGGGAGCTGAGATTGGGCCACTGCTCTCCAGCCTGGGTGAAGAGCAACACTCCATCTCTAAATAAATAGTGAGAGACATGCATCTCTTCCTTTCACTTAACACACAGAGGCCATTGTAGGGTCATTAATTGGCCTAATTTCAATCTTGTGTCTCAGGAGAAGAGGGAGAGAGATAGGGGAATGGCCTGCAGTGGAACCGTCAGAACACACACAACACTTATCAATTAAGTTCAGCACCTTATATGGATGCGGTTTGTGGTGCCCCAAAACAATTGCAATCAGTAATCAAAGAATACTGATCACAGATCACCATGACAGACATTGTAAGAATGAAAAAGTTGGAAGTATTGTGAGCATTACCAAAGTGTGAACAGAGAGACATAAAGAAAGCACATGCTGTTGGAAAAGTGGCACAACAGACTTGCTCAATGCAGGGCTGCCACAAGCCTTCATTTGTACAAAACCCAGGATCTGTGAAGCACATTAAAGAGCAAGAAGGCGGGGCATGGCAGCATATCCAGACCAAAGCACCACCTCGTTTCTGCTTTACACAAATTTACTGCAAATCCTGGGCATCTAAAGCTCCTATGACTGGAGAATTTTAGGCCCTTTCTGGATTGCAAAGTCAGCATGGGATGCTCAATGCAGAAGTTTTAACAATAGATAAAATGCTGTAAGGCAATATCTACAATTTATCAATTCACAAACAAAGCAAAGCAGGTGTGGCAGAGATTAATTTCTCATCTCTCCTTCCTCAAATCTGAATGATACTGCAGATCACTTACCTGTCATGCTTACACAGTGTCACCTACCTGCAACTGACATGTGCTTAGGTCATTTTTAGAAAACACAGGGCTGTATACTCATTCTCCCATTTGGACTACTCTGGGGAAAACCACCTGTGTTAGTTAGTACAAGAGCTGGATGCTGTAAACAACAGCCTAGTTATAACCAAGGTTCATCTGTGACAACCATCACTAGCCCTGCCACTCACTCATACCACAAGACCAGGAAAACTTTAGAGCTGGATCACAGAAACAGTAACCAAGGTCAACACTGCCTTCTATTTCCTTGCCCATGAAAACATATGGATTGAGTGAGAAAGCTGAGGCCTAGAGACGTGATAGGGATTGCTGCCACTGTCCAGGGTCACACACACACAGCAGTGGCAAGGCCAGGAATAGACTCAAACCCCCTGTGCACCTTTTCACCACCTCCCTTCCTCTGGTAACCTTTTTTCTTCCTCCCTCGCAGTTCCTCCTTTATTTTCTTCCTTTTCTTGCCTGTGGTAACCTACAGAGTACTGGCTATCAGTTAGGGCTAAATAGGTTGGTAGTCTCTACACTAGATCTACTCAAAATCTATTTTAAAATAAAATGGAATGTTTCCAACATCTTACTCGTTGACTTCCATGTCCTGATCATCAGAAGATTCATCTTCTCCTAGGACATTTTCAGAATCTGGTTTCCGAATGAGAAAGAACAGAACTGTCCCCACAAGGCTAATCACTGTTAGGGCAATAAACACTGTTCTTCGGTCACTCTCTAAGGAGAAAAAAGAAGAAACTAGATAGTATCGACCAAACAATTCCAGAATTAGTGCCAGAGTACAAGAGTTGCTTATAACTGTCAACGCACTTCCTTGTCACATTTTCACTTTAATCCATCAGTCAAAACTCAGGACAAGGAGATAAACAGGATACCTTCACCTTTGTCTTTCAGTTAGACAAACAGGAATAAGCCAAAGAAAAACAGCACAAGAGCTTAATCGCCTTCTTTTAATCAAAGAAGGGTACAGACAAAACAACTGAGCATTCAAGTCTTCTAACAACTGTATACTCATGCTCAGAACACGTGCACTCATGCACAGCATAACCTTCCCTGATACTCTGGATACCACTTAAAGCTTAAGCATAAACTATCACCTAGTTTAATAATATAAACCAAGAAAAAGGCTTATGAAAAGCTAAAGTCTGAGAGAACTTGAGGGGTCAGGGTTCATGAGAACAATGCTTGAATAAAGCAATAATGAGTATTTCTGTATAACTCCTATTATGCTTTGAACATATCTGAATAAAGCAAAGTGAATAAAACAAACCTGATATCTGAGTTTTCCCTTGCCAGGCAAAATATATGTAGAGATTTCCAAAGAACAAGCTGGGGGAAGAAAAGGGAGGATAGGATGTTGGGAAATTATTTTAATATTTAAGGTTTTTAAAAAATAATTATTCCCATTATTTGTTGCAAGACAGAGAGAAGAACACAATTTTTCTTTTTGAGATGGAGTCTCCCTCTGTTGCCCTGGCTGGAGTGCAGTGGTATGATCTTGGCTCACTACAACCTCTGTATTCTGGTTTCAAGAGATTCTCCTGCCTCAGCCTTCGCAGTAGCTGCGATTACAGGCGGTGCCACCATGCCCAGCTAATATTTGTAGTTTTAGTAGAGATGGGGTTTCACCATGTTGGTCAAGCTGGTCTCAAACTCCTGTCTTCAAGATCCACATGCCTCCGCCTCCCAAAGTGCTGTGATTACAGGTGTGAGCCCCCAGGCCCAGCAGGACGTCATTTTCAAAGTATCTACCTGTGCTGGGTCATTTAAAAGTATCAACTCATCTGGACTCTGATAAACTTAACTGGCCCAGATGGAATTCAGTCTCCTTCCATGTGACAGTAATCTGATTCAGAGGCACCCTTCAGAGAAGACTTGACTCACTTTGAAACATGTGATTTATTGAAAATCTGGAAATGAGTCCCTGGAAACAAGCTTAAGGTAAATTCTAAAGAATCTATATCTAAAAATCCATGATTTAGTTATCTGCATCTAATCAAATACTTTCTTTAGCATACTTTCCTAGAGAAAGAATCATTCACTTACACTAGAGTTTCTTAATATACAACTCCTTAAAATGCAACATTTGCATTTGTTAAGCCTTGTCAAGGACAAAACTTGAGGCATGATTCATGAGTGTAATTCCTCAGGAAAGATTCCTGAAATCCAACAGTCAAGAGCAGAATGACTGGTTTTGCTTTCTTCTTAAGAAAATGTTAATGCTCTATTCAGTATTGGTATATAGTCCTGGGTAGCTAGTGAGCTACCATGCCCAGTTGTAATTCTATAAAATTTTGAATCATATCACATTCAACTAGAACTTAAGTAATGTAACATGGAAGATCCAAATTGTCAACCAAAGACCTAAAAAATGGCATGACAAAAACAGAATCAAAGGAAAGACTGAACTTCAAAAAGATAATTACCTAGACTGCAGGAGTGCCCAGAAAATCCCACTGTTTCTCCCAATGGTGTGCTCATCGGAATTTATTGTCAGGCAGTTTCCTTGTGCTGTCCAAAGCACTAAAATTCAAACCAAAAGTTTATCAAGAGAAAGCCATTCACTTAGCATTACATACTAAACACACAAATGATACCTTCAGGCCCCAGAAAACAGAGAAGTTAAAAATCAAAACACTTACCAGCAGCTGCAATTCCAATGAAAACAGAGGCTGTGTAGAAGGACCATGGGAAAGGCTGGATAAAAACGGCAATGTACATGCTAAAATATAACAGGTCAAGGTATTATAGTCAAACGATATCTGAAATAGAATGCCAATTATGCCTTCTAGGAATCAGTTCTGAGATTCTCTTCTTTTAAAACTCAACCTGTAAAGGATCGCTCCAGTTTTGAAAAAAGGGACACAATCAACTTGCTGATTTCTTAATTAATCAATTAATTTTTTTGAAACAGGGTCTCACTACATTGCCTGGACTGGAGTGCAGTGGCACCATCACAGCTCACTGCAACCTCCACCTCCCAAGGCTCAAGTGATCCTCCCATCTTAGCCCCGAAAGTAGCTGGGACTACAGGCATGTGCCACCACGTCCGACTAATTTTTTTTATTTTTGGTAGAGACAGGGTTTCACCCAGGCTCGAACCCCTGGGCTCAAGTGATCCTCCGCTCAAGCAATACCTCAGCCTCCCAAAATGTTGGGATTTACGGGTGTGAGCCACTAAGCCTGGCCCATAATTTATTTCAAATTTATAAAATCAGACATTTTACAGGTTGGCAGTGTCATTTGCCAAAAGCTTAGCACATCATGAAACTACAGTTCTAGAGTTCAGAAAAATATTTAGTTATTTCAGACATGATTTCGAATCCCCATTTATCTTCAGTCAACTGACAGAAAGTAAGATTATTTCATGGAATGTTCTTTTCAACCCTCATAGAAAGAGACTTTTGGATACTATTTTTATTAACAGTAAAACAAAAGCAGATACATATACATGCTATCACATTAAAATATGATATCTCTGAGCAACAAGTACTGAGCCAAAATTATTAAAATACCACCTATATTCTATTTGGTTCAAGCCTATAAATTATTGTGAAAAATTTACTATCTACTTGAAAGATCCTGAAAAGTGTTCTAATTAAATAAGTGAAAGATTACACTACTCACCTGTAAAATAAACCACTGGCAAACATAGAGAGTTGAGGTCCTACAATGGTCACCACTGACGGTGTAATCAAATTTGAGGCAGAGAACACTCCATAGATAATGGCCATGCTGCACACGTAATACACAAACGGGAAAAAAAAAAAAGGAACAAAGCGCTTGTATGCTGTGTCGCTTTTTTAAAAATTTAATTTTTTAATTGCATTTTAGGTTTAGGGGTACACGTGAAGAACATGCAAGATTGTTGCATAGGTACACACATGGCAGTGTGATTTGCTGCCTTCCTCCCCATCACCTATATCTGGCATTTCTCCCCATGCTATCTCTCCCAACTCCCCAACCCCCACTGTCCCTCCCTTATTTCCCCCCAACAGACCGCTGTATCACTTTTTAAAATCCATTTGTGTTTATAGATTTTACAATAGTCATATTCTTTAGTCAGAATTTATGATAATTATATCACTAAACTCAACACCATATAAAAGTTTTCATTTCTACAAAACATTGAAGTCCCATCAGTGGTGTCTTGAGATCAGTTTGTCTAGAGCAATACATTTTTTACGTACTGCTAAGTCATAATTACAGGCACTGCACCAAGTACTTATACATGCTTTCTCTTTTAACCTAACAGCTCTAGGAAGAAGATATTGTCATTATCCTCATGTTAGAGAAAAGAAAAAGGAAATACAGTGGGGTTAAGTAATAGGGTTAAGTCCGTCTGGGTGGCTAGTGAATGTCAAGGCAGGATTGCATGACTCCAGAGGACTTAGTCCACCAATCTCCTCTACAAACTTAGCCTACAACTCCTGGCAGCTCCTTGACATTTCTCTGCTATAAATAACAACTGCGGAGTTACGACTTGCTTAAGCCAGAATTTATTTAACACAACCTAATGGTCTCACTTGAACATTACTCAGTTAGTATTGACCAAGCCCTAGTACATTGTCTTGTACAAAGTGTGATTAAAACCATTTCAAAGGCCCTGACTGAATTCATTTACTAGGCACTATTCATAAATCCAAAGTAAATTATTCTTTGGCTTTTATGAATCTCTCAAATATCAAATGTCTTTTTGTATTTGTTCTTTAGAATACACATGAAGACAAAGCAGTACAAAAAGCTGTGCTATTCATCACTTAGAAAAATGAACAGTAATTTTCTTTCATTCTCAAATGTTATATACAAGGCTTAGGATAGGTAATGGAAGAACCAAGTACGAGTTAAGGGGTTGTGGGGCTGGATGGGGGTGCCATGATCCAATCTCTAACTCTAGAGAAATAAGAAACCTGTTTCTATAGCTCAGTGTAGACATTCCATGATATATATTTCAAAACATGTTGTACACAATAAATACATGCAATTTTCATTTGTCAATTAAAAAAATCTAACTTTAAAAAAGAAAAACCTCTTTGTGTTTCTATACGTGTACATATTACATTCTCAGCTCCAATCACAAGGTTCTAGTGACTTGTGAGGGTTTTTTCTTTTTTCTTTTTTTTTTTTTGAGATGGAGTCTTGCTTTGTTGCCCACACTGGAGTGCAGTGGCGCTATCTCAGCTTACTGTAACCTCCACCTCCTGAGTTCAAACAATTCTCCTGCCTCAGCCTCCAGAGTAGCTGGGATTACAGGCATGTGCCACCACACCTAATTTTTTTGTATTTTTAGCAGAGACAGGGTTTCACCATATTGGCCACGCTAGTCTGGAACTCCCAATCTTGGGATCCACCTGCCTTGGCCTCCCAAAGGGCTGGGATTACAGGTTCGAGCCACTGCACTTGGCCTCAGGTCTTTTCATTTTAACCATCTGTAAAATTGGGACTAAACACTTCACCAAAAATCTAAAAGTTCCCAACATAAGTATATTAATCGTTATGAAATTACAAAAAACAGAAGGACCAGATGTTTCAAGAATCACATGTTCTGTTTAGGACAGGGCAATTCTAATCATAACAATAGTAGACTGCTTATTCAATGCCATGCACTATGCCAAGAACCTTACATGCATTTTCTGAGCTAGGAAATCGGGCTCATGGAAACACTTGCCTAAGATAACAATGGAACACCTTGTAAAATGAGGATTTCAAATTCTAGTGTCTATTTCCACAGAAAACATAAACTCATCAGCTTTATTGTATTATGTTCTCTCAGTCTAGGTACTGAGAAGAGAAAATGCAATCACCACTAATTCAGTCACAATATTCTATGGCTGGTGATTCTGACGGGATTTAAGCAACTACTGTTAAATATAAAGCAAAACTAATCATGCGGTACGATACCTGGTATATCCACTGCCGTGAAAATCTGTGTTATTTAAGCTCCTGATGACAGTTTGCTGTGTGGAAGATAAAACTAATCAACGAAAACATTTTGCGGTCTCCCTCCCCCCACCTTGGGAAGTGTGACTCCAAGTACTCAAAAAGCAAATAAAGTAAAAGTTCATAATGCTCTATACTTAATACTGAAGTCCGTTATGAGAAAAGAAAAAAAGACAACAGAATTGGAGAAGGCAAACCAATGACAGGGAGTCGGGGAGGAAAACCAGCTGTAACTACGCCTTGGGTTTCCTCCCTTAACCATCCAAGCACTAAGGAAGAGCTTAATACAGACAATAAATAAAGTAACTAGGTCAACATCCAAACCCCTAATCAAATCAGATAAACGGTAATGCTTAACCCCCCATATAGGAGGAGTATCTGACGTAAAAAATCAAACCTAATCATCAAAAATGAGGAAGCCTGGGTGGGAAAAATAAAAGATGCAATTTAAGCGCGCTATTAGATATAATTAACGTTTATTGTCATTTCTGGAATGCATTATGCTGGGCACTTCAAAGGAAGGAGGACAGGTTCCAACTCACCGCCACATTTCCACAAGTTTGAAAGGCAGTGAACATAAACATAAAAGCAACTCCTAAAATAATGATGTTGAAAAGCTTTTTAGATTCCGGGGACATTTTGGCTCAGCTCCGCCGGAGGTCAGCAGCAGCCCAGGGCAGTCAGCTCTCGTCGGGACGAAGCCCCTGACAATCCTGGGGAAAGAAATGAGATGGTGAGCAGAGAAGGCAGATGCCGGAGCCAGCAGCCAAGCTGTCAACTTCCAGTTCATGAATCAGAATCCCGGGTTTAGGGCGAAGTTCTCCCCACCGGCATTTAGGACATTCCTAAGATCCGACTTGAGTACGGAAGAGCACAACCACCGGAGAAGCGCCAAGAATACAGACGCTCCAGGTTGAGGGGCCCGCGAAGGGGATTAAGGGACCAAAGCGAGCCGCAGCAGCCCAGCCCGCGCGGCCCCGCCCTCCCTACCTGATTCACCGCGGTCAGGCGACCCGGTCACCTGACCGCAGCCGCGGCGCCGGCCGCTCGGCCCGCTGGGAAACGTAGTCCCGGGAGGCCCAGCAGGCGCAGGTGTTCCGCAGACAGTTCCCACCGCCCAGAGCTGGCAGAGCTTGCTGGCTCTGGCGCAACTGGGTGAGGAAGCGGACCCCGGCGAAGAGCAATCGGGAACTGTTGGACCGGGCTGAGAGACGACGCAGCGGAGTCTGAGGAGGCCGGGGTCACAGGAAGGGGGAAATACGGGCAGAAGCACGCTTCTGACAGAGGCAGGGCTCGGGCTGAGGGCTGGGGGCTGAACAGAAAAGCTGCGTGGATTTAAGAGTATTAGCATGAATAAAAGGCGGACCCTAGAGGAGGAGCACTTCCTCTTCTTCCTGCCCGAGCGCTGTCGTCCGGCCTCCCAGGCGGAAAGAGCGTTTCGCGGGCTTTCCAACTGCCCGCTAATTCCGCTCCCCCTCCCTCCAGCAGTGACTCCGCGCTTTTTGGCCCGCCCGCCGAGCTGTGCGCAGGCGCGTCGGGCACGGGCTGGGCACGCGGTAGGGACGTTGCAAAACGAAGTGCGGCGGACCAATTAGAGGATTTCATTTCCGGGTGGCGCGGGCGCCATTTTGTGACGGAGGCTATAAAAAAGCGCTGGGGGCGGCCGCCCGCCCAGTTATTGCTAAGGTGCGCTCGTCTATAAAGGCTGTCTGTGGTGTTTTTCCGCAAGGCCTTCCCCGGCGTCCCCACGCGGAAGGCAACTGCCAGACCACAGACGCGGCGTCGCACCGCCCAGAGCTGAAGAAGCCGGCGCCAGTTCGCGGGGCTCCAGGCCGCCTCTCACAGCCATGAGCTACGGCCGCCCCCCTCCCGACGTGGAGGGTATGACCTCCCTCAAGGTGGACAACCTGACCTACCGCACCTCGCCCGACACGCTGAGGCGCGTCTTCGAAAAGTACGGGCGCGTCGGCGACGTGTACATCCCGCGGGACCGCTACACCAAGGAGTCCCGCGGCTTCGCCTTCGTCCGTTTCCATGATAAGCGTGACGCCGAGGACGCCATGGATGCCATGGACGGGGCCGTGCTGGACGGCCGCGAGCTGCGGGTGCAAATGGCGCGTTACGGCCGCCCCCCGGACTCGCACCACAGCCGCCGGGGACCGCCACCCCGCAGATACGGAGGCGGTGGCTACGGACGCCGGAGCCGCAGGTGAGCGGGACTGGGGGACCGCGGGAGGCGGGGCAGAGCGCGCGGGAGGCCTGGGTGCCTCACAAAGATCCGCGGCGAAGCACGTGGTGCGGGGCGGGGCGGGGGTGCACGCGGCTCCTCGCGACCCTCGGGCCGCCCCGCGCGCTTCCGCCCTCTGCGACCCGGCAGCGTCCCGGGTATGGGCGGCGCAGGGCGCAGGACCCCGCCTCGCGACTGGGGAAATGGCGTCTGGCAGCGAGATAATGGCGGCCTGGGCAGGAGCGCGCGGGCGGGGCCGGTCCCGCCGCCTGGAATTAACCCCGCTGTGCTGCTCGTCCCGCCTGCAGCCCTAGGCGGCGTCGCCGCAGCCGATCCCGGAGTCGGAGCCGTTCCAGGTCCCGCAGCCGATCTCGCTACAGCCGCTCGAAGTCTCGGTCCCGCACTCGCTCCCGCTCTCGGTCGACCTCCAAGTCTAGATCCGCGCGAAGGTCCAAGTCCAAGTCCTCGTCGGTCTCCAGATCTCGCTCGCGGTCCAGGTCCCGATCTCGGTCCAGGAGTCCTCCCCCCGTGTCCAAGAGGGAATCCAAATCCAGGTCGCGATCGAAGAGTCCCCCTAAGTCTCCTGAAGAGGAAGGAGCGGTGTCCTCTTAAGAAAAAGGTAATGACTTGGGAATCTGAGACACAACCCTAACTCATAAATGGGATTTAGGGTAGGTCTTTTGAGCCGTGTTAATGTAAGAATGACTCCTAACGTTAGGAGTGCTGCTCTGAGGTTACTCGCCTTTGGGAGTAATACTGAAGAGAGGGGTCTGCAGGAAGGATGTGTATGAAGCTTAGATAATAATGGCTGTTTCGTAAACTGTTTGAGACCTATTAATGAAAATGACTATTTCTTGCTGTTTTTATCCAACGTCTGCATTTTCCCCCTTTAAAGCTGCGGTCTCCTGTTTGATAAAAGAATATTGGCCAGTATTGCAGATTTTAACTGATTTGGCTGATCCTCCAGGGACCAGTTTCTGTGGGCGTGTATTGGAGCAGGTTTGTCTTTAAATGTTAAAGATGCACTATCCTCTTAGAGAAAAACATTCAGTTCAACTATTGTTGTACTGACTGGGACTTCATATTCTAATGGATGTGGCAAACGAATTGCAATAAGAAGCAGTGAACTTTTGGAACCCCAAAGAAAGATTACAGGTATCGCACTGGGTGGGGAAAGGATAGTGTGTCTTTAACTCAAATTGTTTGGTCCTATTTTTTGAAAAGGAAAGGGCTCTAAGTAGCTCAGATAATAAAGTATTCTCAGTTGCCAAATGTTTCATTTGAAGCGACTTATCTTAATAAAATATAGACCAATTCTCTGATTTCGAGTTGTTTTTGTTTGGATACAGCCCCCCCCCTTTTTTTTTTCTCCCCCTTACCTTTCTTCACCTTGGTTATTTGGCCAGGAATACATAAATTCAAACTTGTACATGTTGGTGGTAGCCTTTGTGAAGTTTTCCTAATTGGGCCTTTAAAAAACATGGCTGGGTGGAACATTTCTGTACCCTACTCGTTTCACCAGAGCCTTAGTAAGTACATGCCTGAAACTGAAACCATGTGCACTTTAATGGAAGGTAAGCTGAACTTCTTTCTTTTCAAACCTAGATGTATCGGCAAGCAGTATAAATGGAGTACTTGGGGGAAAAGGACTACATACTCAGTCGATCGAAGAAGAGTCCTTGGAACAAGCAACTGGCTATTGAAAAGGTTATTTTGTAACATTTGTCTAACTTTTTACTTGTTTAAGCTTTGCCTCAGTTGGCAAACTTCATTTTATGTGCCATTTTGTTGCTGTTATTCAAATTTCTTGTAATTTAGTGAGGTGAACGACTTCAGATTTCATTATTGGATTTGGATATTTGAGGTAAAATTTCATTTTGTTATATAGTGCTGACTTTTTTTGTTTGAAATTGAACAGATTGGTAACCTAATTTGTGGCCTCCTGACTTTTAAGGAAACGTGTGCAGCCATTACACACAGCCTAAAGCTGTCAAGAGATTGACTCAGCATTGCCTTCATTCCTTAAAATTAAAAACCTACAAAAGTTGGTGTAAATTTGTATATGTTATTTACCTTCAGATCTAATGGTAATCTGAACCCAAATTTGTATAAAGACTTTTCAGGTGAAAAGACTTGATTTTTTGAAACGATTGTTTATCAAACACAATTCTAATCTCTTCTCTTATGTATTTTTGTGCACTAGGCGCAGTTGTGTAGCAGTTGAGTAATGCTGGTTAGCTGTTAAGGTGGCGTGTTGCAGTGCAGAGTGCTTGGCTGTTTCCTGTTTTCTCCTGATTGCTCCTGTGTAAAGATGCCTTGTCGTGCAGAAACAAATGGCTGTCCAGTTTATTAAAATGCCTGACAACTGCACTTCCAGTCACCCGGGCCTTGCATATAAATAACGGAGCATACAGTGAGCACATCTAGCTGATGATAAATACACCTTTTTTCCTCCTCCCCCCAAAAATGGTAAATCTGATCATATCTACATGTATGAACTTAACATGGAAAATGTTAAGCAAATTGTTGTAACTTTGTAAGTACTTACAACATGGTGTATCTTTTTGCTTATGAATATTCTGTACTATAACTGTTGTTTCTGTAGTTTAATTAAAACATTTTCTTGGTGTTAGCTTTTCTCAGAATATGTCTTGGTTTTTTCTCCCCCCATTTATTTGAAAGACCTATGCAATTGTTCTGTGATTATTGCTGACTGCATAGTATGGAAGTGGAATGTTAGTGCCTATCATTTCCTAAGTTAAAGTGGAAATGTCAGTTGAACATCTGAAATCAATGCTTTAAGGTGGCACTTTGCGTGAGGTTGTGATACCCCTTTATCAACCTAATTTATATCCTATTTAATAATAAGGAACAATCCAAGTACTTGTATTAAGTATTTTAATTTCTGTTTCATATTAGTTAACGTGTTGTCTAGGTGACACCAAAATCTAAGGCTAACAGACTTGACCACCTTCAGACCCACTGCATTCTCAAGCTGAAGTGGTCTGAACCTAGTCTGTGTGCCAGGTTGCTCATCAGTATTGATACCCTCCCAGAACAGCTTGTTTAGGTATTCAGAGACTGTCCTTTGCAAAGGAAATGACCAGCATTTCAACTGTATGTCTTCCTGGAAGGGCAGATTCTGCTATATCTTCTTTGTCTGCATCAAAAGACTCCAGAGGAATATGGACACATTTCATATCCCATTTGTAGAGCAAAGCTTCAAGTGACCAGTCAGCACTTTAAAAAATTAAAATAAATTGTTTTTTTAAAATCATGCCTTTTCTGTTTTGCTTCAGATATATTTTATTCTTAAATTATGTATTGCATGGGGCATGGTAGAGTAAGGCTTAAGTTACATTCAAAAGTAAGCTAGGGTTAGCCATACTTACCTTCTAACTTGATAAGTAGACCACAATTGGGCCTTGGGGTTCTTCTGCATCAAAAAGTATATTGTAGTTAAAATATCTTCAAAATCTGAGGAGAAAGGGTTTATGAATACTTTCCTATAGCATCACTAGCCAAATGCCCTATTGAGCCAAAAAAGTTTACCTTCTGGTTCAAAGAACACATCAGATGCAAGGATAATATCTTGTGGCGGTAGAGCCAGAAGATCCCAAGATACATGGCCCCATGTTAGTCCTACCACTTGCAGCTGGGGCAGGTTATTCATATGGCAGCTTTGCCGACAGACTTCTAGACAGTGAGGCAGTTCTGAGCTGTCTGATAATATTACTTCTGCACCACATTTTGCAGCCAAAATTCCTGGAAGACTCACTCCAGCTCCAATCTGGTAATAAGTTATAAAAGATGGCATTTCACACACGGAACTGCAAAGAAATGGGAATCTTGGTAGTTTTTCATTATATCCTTTTTCTAGCTCAGTTGCCCAGGCTCCATCTAGGCTCACCGCAACCTCCACCTCCAGGTTCCCAAGCAGCTGGGACTACAGGTGTGTGCCACCATGCCCAACTAGTTTTTATATTTTTAGTAGAGACGAAGTTTTACCATATTGGCTAGGCTGGTCTTGAACTCCCGACCTCAAGTGATCTGCCCACCTCAGTCTCCCAAAGTGGTGGGATTGCAGGCATGAGCCGCAGCACTTGGCCTGATTTTCACTTATTAGCACATCTATAGTTGATTGCTCTTAAGTAGCTAAAACCTCACAGGTTTGCAATATGGCTTTCTGGTAAAGATTCTTGAGTTGGGCTTTGAAAGTGGCAAGATGCTTTGTGGACACTAAGAAATAATACTAAGGAATGCCTTCTTAGTAACAAACACAAGCTTCCCATTTTCCAGTTAAAGGATGGGCATAGAGATTATTCTGGGTGCCTAACAATTACTAAGGCCAGAAGTGTGTGCAAATCCTACCCTACATTTATGTGGTATAGTAAAAAAGAGTGGGAGGTTAATATTAAGCTTCTGGTATGTCTATTTAGGTGTGGAAGTCTATGATAAAATTGATTTTTTCCAAGCCTTCAGCAGTCTGAAGCCAGGTAGTGAGGTAAGGAAGAGAATGGGATACATTTTTATACTAATCTCAACATTTCCAAGAATGGAAAGGGCTATGTATGGTCTGAATGTTTGTATCCACCCAAAATTCAAATGTTCAAATTCTAATACCCATATTAGGTGGGACATTGGGAGGCAATTAGGTAAGAGCAGAGTTCTCATGATTAGTGCCATTATAAAAGACCCTGGAGAGCTGCCTTGCTTCTCTTCTTCACTTGAGAATGTAGAGGACACTGTCTGAACCATAATTCTGGCCCTCACCAGACACTGAATATCTAAGGACTTTGATCCTGGAACTTCACTGCTTCCAAAACTGAGACAAATTTCTTTTTTTATTTTTAATTTTTTCCAGGCTGGAGTACAGTGGCGTGAACTCGGCTCACTGCAACCTCCGCCTCCCAGGTTCAAGCAATTCTGCCTCAGCCTCCTGAGCAGCTGGCACTACAGGAGCGCACCACATGCCTGGCTAATTTTTGTATTTTTAGTAGAGACAGGGTTTCACCATGTTGGCCAGGATAGTCTTGATCTCGACCTCAAGTGACCCACCTGCCTTGGCCTCTCAAAGTGCTGGGATTACAGGTGTGGGCCATCACACCCAGCCTATTTTTTTTTTTTCATTTTTGAGATGGAGTCTAGTTCCTCACCCAGGCTGGTGTGCAGTGGTGCAATCTTGGCTCACTCCAACCTCCACCTCCCGGGTTCAAGCAATTCTTCCTCAGCCTCCTGAGTAGCTGGGACTACAGACGTGTGCCACAAGGCCTGGCTAACTTTATAGCAGAGACAAGACTTTACCATGTTGGCCAGGCTGGTCTTGAACTCCTAACAGGTGATCCGCCCACCTTGGCCTCCCAAGCCGTGAGCCACTGCACCCAGCCAGACACACAAATTTCTGTTTTTTATAAGCCACCCATTATATGGTATTTTGTTACAGCAAGATGAATGTTAAAAGCACTGCAGTTATTGGCTGGGCATGGTGGCTCATGCTTGTAATTCCAGCACTTTGGGAGGCTGAGGTGGGTGGATCACAAGGTCAGGAGATCGAGACCATCCTGGCCAAAATGGTGAAACCCTATCTCTACTAAAAATACAAAAATTAGCTGGGCATGGTAGTGCATGCCTGTAATCCCAGCTACTCAGGAGGCTGAGACAGGAGAATCGCTTGAATCAGGGAGTTGGAGGTTGCAGAGTGAGATGAGATAATGCCACTGCACTCCAGCCTGGTAACAGAGTGAGACTCTTAAAAAAAAAAAAAAACAAAAACTGCAGTTGTAAAGCCTGCATGACACTGCTGGGACACATCTAAAGATTGCCACGGCCATGGAAGGCAGTTCAGGGGCTTCATCTAGAATAGCGGTCAGCAAACTGTAAAGGGCTACAGAGTAAATATTTTAGGCTTTGTGGTCTACCTACTGTCTCTGTCACACATTTTTTTCTTGGAGACAGGGTCTCACTATGTTGCCCAGGCTGGTATCAAACTACTGGGCTCAAGCGATTTTCCCACCACAACCTTCCAGCAATCACACCAGCATGTTTTTTAAAAACAATCTTTTACTTCATTTAAAAAAACACTTTTTAAATTAAAAAAGTGCCAAGATAATCTCTGTACCTTAAGACAAAAACAAAACATTCTTATAGCTCACAGACCTTACCAACTAGCTAAATTAACCCTGATTTTAAAATATTTAACAAAAGCTAATAACAAGCATATATACATGTAAGCTTAACATATTTGAACATAACCCAGAATTCTGGAAACTTCAGAGGGACTTGTACCTCCAAGATGGCCTTGCCTGGCAGAGATCTTCTGTGAAACCAAAGGTACTGGGCCAGGACCACAGCACAGGGCCAAACATACATTCCATACTGGAGATGCAGGATCTGAAAAGAATTTTTTTGTGTGTCATAAATAATTTATCTACTGGAAGTTGGAATCATTTCTACAGCAATTTCTGTGAGGCATTAGCATCCATTACAAAAACAGCAGCCATGCTCACCAGTCCCCGTCCTCTGAGGATGTAAAACCACAATGCAGTATGATAAGCACTCTTGATGGCACTCTTCATTCAACAAGCACTTGTAGTGTCTGAGTATCAGGGACCATTCTTAGACTGGGGATGTAGCTCTCCCTGATCACATATCGTACTGTAGAGACAGGCAACGAGTAAGCAAATAAGATCTTTATAGTCAGGGACAATGCTACAAAGCTAAACAGGGTGACGTAAGGCAATGTGGGGGTGAGCACAGGTGGCTGCTCTTGATTCAGGCAAAGGCCCTGAATGAATAAATGAAAGACCTCAGTGGCTAATCAAACTGGGGAGTGGGGAAGGGGGCAGATAGGAATGGAAGCTGGAGGCATGGTTGTGCAGTGCATCCAAGTGGAGGGCAGAAGTAAGACAGGGACCAGACCTGTGGGGTCCTGTCAGCCCCAGAAGTTTAGATTGTATTCTAAGTGCAACATGAAGATATTGGAGGGGTTTAGGCACAAACATAACTTGGTGTGTTAATAGGAAGTAGTGTGATCCTAGGAAGACAACCTAGAAGTATGAGTCCAGCTGAATCCTGAGTTAGGCAGGCAGGCAGCACACAAGCCTTTGGAAAGGACTAAAATCATAAGAGCACGGTATTCGGTGAGGAAATGAGCTGGCCTGGGTCCAATCTCTAGATTTGTAATTTACTAGCTATGTGACCTCAAGACAAGTTACTTAGCATGGCAGTGCTTCCATTTCCTCAACTGCAAAATACTGTCTCAATAGGGTGTTCAGGAAAATTCAACGCAAACTTAGGACAGTGCCAGACACAAAGTAAGCACTCAAAGGTAGCAATTAAACTGCAAAACATGTCTTTCTGTCCTCTGGAGCAAAGGGTGTCCTGTTGGGGTGTTAGAAAAAGAAGCTGAACAGGTGAAAGTATCAAAGGTGAAGGAACTGAGATCCAAACATAATCATTCAATTCATTCAAAACATAAATGGCTAACATATGCTAGGCACTGTTCTAAGTGTAGGGGGTACGGGATGAGCAGGTAAAATTGCCTTGACCAGAGGATAGAGTTGTGCAAATTTGGGAGTAAAGAAGAGGCTTCTAGGCTGGCTGCGGTGGCTCATGCCTGTAATCCCAGCACTTTGGAAGGCCGAGGCGGGCAGATCACCTGAGGTCAGGAGTTCGAGACCATCCTGGTCAACATGGTGAAACCCTTTCTCTACTAAAAATACAAAAAATTAGCTGGGCATGGTGGTGTGTGCCTGTAATCCCAGCTACTCAGGAGGCTGAGGCAGGAGAATTGCCTGAACCCAGGAGGCGGAGGTTGCGGTGAGCCGAGATTGCGCCATTGCACTCCAGCCTGGGAAACTCCATCTCAAAAAAAAAAAAAAAATTAGCCAGCCACTCAGGAGGCGGAGGCGGAGGCGGAGGCGGAGGCGGAGGCGGAAGTAGCAGTGAGCCCAGATTGTGCCACTGCACTCCAGCCTGGGCTGGAGACTTCGTTTCAAATTAAAAAAAAGAGGCTTCTATCTATTCTTCTCTTTGGGGATATAAAAGGCAAATCATCACCCCCAACATTTAGGAAGAAACGCAAATGTATTTCAACATGAAGCCAAATTGGATGTAGTCTCGGCTACTCAAAAGGCTGAGAGGGCCGGGCACGGTGGCTCACGCATATAATCCCAGCATTTTGGGAGGCCGAGGTGGGTGGATCACGAGGTCAAGAGATCGAGACCATCCTGGTCAACAAGGTAAAACCCCATCTCTACTAAAAATACAAAAATTAGCTGGGCATGGTGGTGCGCGCCTGTAATCCCAGCTACTCAGGAGACTGACGCAGAAGAATTGCTTGAACCCAGGAGGGGGAGGTTGCGGTGAGCCGATCGTGCCATTGCACTCCAGTCTGGGTAACAACAGCGAAACTCCATCTCAAAAAAAAAAAAACACTGAGAGGATCATTTATGCCCCGGAGGTTGGGGTTGCAGTGTGCCCATCACTGCACTCCAGCCTGGGCAATAGAGCAAGCCTCTGTGTCAAAAAAAAAAAAAAAAAAATGTGAAGCTGTTTACAGACTATCAAGTGAAGCTATTTAGAGACTGTATCAGAAACAGCATCCACTCCAGTCTTTTTTTTTTTTGACATGATCTTGCTCTGTTGCTCATGCCTGAGTGCAGTGGCCTGATCACAGCTCACAGCAGCCTCGACCACTCCAGGTTAAGCAATTCTCCCACCTCAGCCTCCCCAGTAGCTGGGACTAAAGGCACACACCATGATGCCTAATTTTTCTATTTTTTGTAGAGACGTAGTATCACTACATTGCCCAGGTTGGCCTTGAACTCCTGGGCCCAAGGGATCCTCCAGCCTAGGCCTCCCAAAGTGTTGGGATTACAAGCATGAGTCAAAAAATAAAATACAAAAAAAAAATTTTAAAAATAATTGTTTAAAAAAAATAACAAGCATGAGTAAATGCATGCCTGCTCACTCCCCTCCCTCCCTTTTTTTTTTTTTTTTTTTTTTTTTTTTTTTTTTTTGAGGGGAGTATGGTTCTGTCAGCCAGGCTGGAGTGCATGGCGCGATCTCGGCTCAATGCAACCTCCACCTCCCAGGTTCAGGCGATTCTCCTGCTTCAGCCTCCCGAGTATCTGGGACTATACGGTATCCGCCACCACCACCGACTAAATTTTTTTTTGTATTTTAGTAGAGACCGGGTTTCACCATGTTGGCCAGGATGGTCTCGATCTCCAGACCTCGTGATCCGCTTGCCTCGGCCTCCCAAACGGCTGGGATTACAGGTGTGAGCCACCGCGCCAGCCCACTCCACCCCTTTAACGTCTCTCAAGCTTTTTCTTTAGCATGGGACATGCCTCACAGGCTGCTGTTAAAACAAAGTTGAACACTGCAACGTGAAAGTGCTTTGAAAAACTGGAGACAGGCAGGGCATGGTGGCTCACTCCAGCACGTGGGCAGGCGGTAAGTTCACCTGAACCTGGGAGTTGGAGGTTGCAGTGAGCTATGATCGCGCCACTGCACTCCAGCCTGGGCGCCAGAGCGACAGTGTTTCAAGAAAAAAGAATAATAATTATTGAGAGTTTTCGGGCAGCTGTGAGCTTAGAGGAAGAAGCCAGTGCCAACCCAAGAAACTTTATTTGGGGACTAAATAACACTGGAATCCCTGGTCCAAAACCTCACAAAACAGTGTGCGATAAGGATGAATCAATAAACCCTTTGACAAGATGAAAAGCATTAGGGGTCAAGAAAGTCATTTTTCTGGCAGGAAAGATTCGATGTGGAGAAAGCCGGCCCGGCAGCTTACGCCTGTGATCCTAGCACTTTAGGAGGCCGACGCGGGAGGATCACTTAAGCTTACAGTTCGAGACCAGCCTGACCAACATAGTGACCACGGTCACTTCATGGCAGGGTCTCCAAAATTCTTACTGAGAGACATTTAATCCACTGAAGGGGTTCATATCCGACATTTTCGCTCTGGGGGCCAACCTAAAGCAGGAAGCTGCGCAGTTGAGCATCCGCACCCCCGTCCCTCAGGATCCCAGCCAAGTCAGCCGATAACCGCTCCCGCCCTCAGGCGCCTCCCGGCGGGTGCTGCAACACGCACCTGCGGAACCTGGACCTCCAGCACGGCCCCCTCGGATCCCGGGCCCGGCTCCTCCGAGAATCGAAAGCGCTGGGCCTGGACCCCCTGCCCTCGGAAACCGTGCTCGCTCAGGGGGGCGCTGGTGGGCGCCGAGCCGGCAGGAGACCGCGGAAAGCTCTGGGCTGCCAGGCTGCGCGAGAGGGAGGCTCCGGGCCACGTGGCTCTAGCACCTGACCGCAAGAAGGGGAAAGCCCAGCTCTGGAGATAATCCGGCCGCTCTGTGAGCAAAGAAAGCGCGGAGTTAACTGAAGGAGACTCAGACGCGCAAGACCGGCAACGAGCGGACGGCGCAGCAGGAAGTGATGCGCGCCGCGACAGCGCGCAGGAGGGGCGGGGCGGGCGGGGCGGGCGGGGCGGCTATGCGGCTGACTTGACCTTCCCAATATGGCGGAGCCCCCCCCCCCCCCCCCGCATGTGAGGGCGGACCCCAGAGGCGCCGAAACCAATGGCGGACCGCGAGAGGCGCGGGGGCGGGGAATACGGCGGCCGCTTGCCCAACCCGAGGCTCGGGAGGTGGATGGGGAGTGAATTTTCTGGAAGGCGACTTTAAAGGCGCCGGGCCGGAGTGAAGGGCGTTTGAGTGCCTCCGTCTCCGCCACCCGGGCGGGGTTGGGGGGGGTGCGTTAGTGGCAGGAAGCGGGCTGCGCCGAGGTCGTAGCGGAACCAGCTGGTGACCTCGCAGGATGAACCACAAGAGCAAGAAGCGCATCCGCGAGGCCAAGCGGAGTGCGCGGCCGGAGCTCAAGGACTCACTGGATTGGACCCGGCACAACTACTACGAGAGCTTCTCGCTGAGCCCGGCGGCCGTGGCGGTGAGCGGGGCGAGTGGGGTGGCCGAGCCGGGCATCAGCATCGCCAGCTGCTGCACACTTTTCTCGGGGCCCGGGGCTGCCCTCGCCCCGAGCGCTGCACCCGGGAGCTCGGAAAGGCTCATCCACACCCCGCGGAGTTTGGAGTCCCAGAGGCCCAGATTCCGGGCCGGGCCTCCTTCCTCCCTTGCTGTGGCCGCCCGTCGGCTCTGTCCGACGACGGGAGTCCCACGCCTGTGGCGCTCTCAACTAGAAGGCCGGTCATCCCTGACTCCTTTGGGCGGCGGGGCCTCTAGGGGACCTGGCTGTCAAGGCTCACGGGTGGGAGATACAAAGTCCCCTCCTCTGATGGGGTGGCTCTAGGAACGACGTGGCCTCACGCACGCGCCCTCTCCCCATTCCGGAGGAGCCAGATGAGAGCTTCCTTCGGTTGCCATTACTAATTGGCCTTGGGGACACCCTTACTGCCACTGGACTTTTTAAATTTTTAACTGGAAAGGTCTTTTCTAATTCCTTCAGGATAACGTGGAAAGAGCGGACGCTTTACAGCTGTCTGTGGAAGAATTTGTGGAGCGGTATGAAAAACCTTACAAGCCCGTAGTTTTGTTGAATGCTCAAGAGGGCTGGTCTGCGCAGGAGAAGTGGACTCTGGAGCGCCTAAAAAGGAAATATCGGAACCAGAAGTTCAAGTGCGGTGAGGATAACGATGGCTACTCAGTGAAGATGAAGATGAAGTACTACATCGAGTACATGGAGAGCACTCGAGACGACAGCCCCCTTTACATCTTTGACAGCAGCTATGGCGAACACCCTAAAAGAAGGAAACTTTTGGAAGACTACAAGGTGCCCAAGTTTTTCACTGATGACCTTTTCCAATATGCTGGGGAGAAGCGCAGGCCCCCTTACAGGTAAAGTGTTCTGCCCCTAAGTGGTTAAAACTTTATCTACAACAGCGTTTGTTCACCGAGTTCAGTTGGTAATCTTTTTCCAGAACGGTGAGTTCTCCCTTGGCTGCACATTGAACCTACTTAGGGGGCTCCTGAGGTCCTACTGTTGAGACTGATTTAATTGGAGTGCTTGCCTGGGCATCAGAATTTCTGAAAGCTCCCCAGGTGACTTGAATGTGCAACTGAAGTTGAATCACTGATCTCTAAGGGAAGTTTTAATAAAGTTTTATAAAATCCAGCAATAAACCACATCAGTGTTTTTTCTTTTTGTTTTTTTTGTTTTTGTTTTTGAGATGGAGTTTCCTTCTGTCGCCCAGGCTGTAGTATAGTGGCGTGGAGTATCTTGGCTCACTGCAGCCTCTGCCTCCTGGGTTCAAGCAATCCTCCTGCCCCAGCCTCCTTAGTAGCTGGGATTACAGGTGCCCACCACTATGCCTGGCTAATTTGTGTATTTTTAGTAGACACAAGAGTTTCACCCTGTTGGTCAGGCTGGTCTCGAACTCCTGAACTCAGGCGATCCACCCGCCTCAGCCTCCCAAAATGCTGGTATTACAGGCATGAACCACTGTCCCTGGCCGATTTTTCTTGTTTTATTAAGAATCAGTCCATGAACAATGCACTCAGTGTTTCTATGTACCAGAATTTATATAATCTCTGAAATAAAGATGATATATCACGTAAAACTAAAACCTGGCCAGGGGTGGTGTCTCAAATCTGTAATTCCAGCACTTTGGGAGGCCGAGGCAGGTGATCACTTCAGGCCAGGAGTTCAAGATCAGCCTGGCCAACGTGGTGAAACACCACCTCTACTAAAAATACAAAAATTAGCCAAGGGTGGTGGCAGGCACCTGTAATCCTATCTACTCAGGAGGCCGAGGCAGGAGAATTGCATGAACCTGGGGAAGTGGAGGTTGCCGTCAGCCAAGATCAAGCCACTGCATTCTAGCCTGGGCGATAGAGCAAAACTCTCAAAAAAAAAAAAAAAGGGAAACTAAACTAAAAACTTAAATGGGTGTTTTTTTTTTTTTTTTTTTTTTGAGAATGGAGTTTTGTTCTTGTTGCCCAGGTTGGAGTGCAATGTGCAATCTTGGCTTACCACAACCTCCACTTCCCAGGTTCAAGTGATTCTCCTGCCTCGGCCTCTTGAGTAGCTGCAATTACAGGCATGTGCCACCACGCTGAGCTAATTTTGTATTTTTAGTAGAGACGGGTTTCTCCATGTTGGTCAGGCTGGTCTCAAACTCCTGACCTCCCAGAGTGCTGGGATTACAGGCATGACCCACCACGCCTGGCCAAACTTACTGTTTTGTATGGTATGTGTGTAACTAAATGACACTTTACATCTTGGATATCTTCATACTGTAGGTGGTTTGTGATGGGGCCACCACGCTCTGGAACTGGGATTCACATCGACCCCCTGGGAACCAGTGCCTGGAATGCCTTAGTTCAGGGCCACAAGCGCTGGTGCCTGTTTCCTACTAGCACCCCCAGGGAACTCATCAAGGTGACCCGAGAAGAAGGAGGGAACCAGCAAGATGAAGCTATTACCTGGTTTAATGTTATTTATCCCCGGACACAGCTTCCAACGTGGCCGCCTGAATTCAAACCCCTGGAAATCTTACAAAAACCAGGAGAGACTGTCTTTGTGCCAGGTATAAATGAACTGGAAGTACGTTCTTTTGACTTCAATGTTTTGTCATTTTGGAGCAGAACTGTTAGAAAGTGAGTCCCAAAAAATCTTGTGCATGCTGCCTGGTAAATGAACTGGTACCCACCTCTCATAGTAACATGTAGCTATGGTGTGAAGTACTTTGGGAGCTCTTGTTCACATTTCATACAGCTATAAAACTCTTGATAAACTGTATGTAGGCTGGGCGTGGTGGCTCACGCCTGTAATCAGCACTTTGGGAGGCCTAGGTGAGCAGATCACTTGAGGTCAGGAGTTCGAGACCAGCCTGGCCAATATGGTGAAACTGTGTCTCTACTAATGATACAAAAATTAGCCAGGTGTGATGGCAGGTGCCTGCAATCCCAGCTACTCAGGAGGCTGAGGTGGGAGAATCACCTGAACCTGGGAGGCGGAGGTTGCAGCGAGCTGAGATCATGCCACTGCACTCCAGCCTGGGTGACAAAGCAGAACTCTATTTCAAATACAAAAAAAAAAAAAACCACCATATGTAAAGATATAACTTTTCTTTATTGTAGTAGTTACTGTCTTTGCATGTGTGTACCGGCTTGTCTGTGTTTATGTAAATGGGGGTTTAATGCTGCTGCTGCTTTTTTTTTTTTTGAGACAGAGTCTTGCTCTGTCAGGCTGGAGTACAGTGGCCTGATCTTGGCTCACCACAGCCTCCACCTCCTGTGTTTAAGTGATTTTCCTGCCTCAGCCTCTCAAGTAGGTAGGACTACAGGCACACTCCGCCATGCCTGGCTGATTTTTGTATTTTTAGTAAAGACGGGGTTTCACCATGTTGGCCAGGATGGTCTCGATCTCTGGACCTCATGATCTGCCCACCTTGGCCTCCCAAAGTGCTGTGATTACAGGTGTGAGCCACCACCCTCGGCTGTTTTGTTTTGTTTTTTTTGAGACGAGTCTCACTCTGTCACCCAGGCTGAAGTGCAATGGGTGATCTCAGCTCACTACAACTTCCAGCTCCTGAGTTCACAAAATTCTTGTGTCTCAACCTCTCCAATAGCTGGGATTACAAGTGCACAACACCACGCCCAGCTAATTTTTGTATTTTAATAAAGATTGGGGTTTCACTGTGTTGCCCAGGCTGGTCTCAAACTCCTGACCTCAGGCAGTCCACCTGCCTCAGCCTCCCAAAGTGCTAGGATTACAGGCATGAGCCAACCAGTATTACTGTCAGCTTCCTGCGCCTGGTCAGAGTTTAAAAATTCTGTAAATTGAGTTGGAGATCTCACTGTGTTGCCCAGACTGGCCTCCGGGGTTCAAGCAAGCCTCCCGCCTCAGCCTCCAAAGTGGTGGGATTATAGGTATGAGCCACCAAACCCAGCCTAAATTGGGTTTTTGATGCAGTATGGCACTGTCTGGGTTGAGTCAAGAAATCTCACACCAGACAACTGCACATTGGTAAGTGAATGGAAGTGAGTATTTAAAGTGGGTGTCCTCTTCCTAGATGCTGAAGAACTTTATGCTTTTGCACTTTTGGTCACAGCTTTGTATTAATGGGAGTAAACAAACTTTTTCTGTAAAGAGCCAGAGAGTAAATATTTTAGGCACTATAGGCCAGATTTTCACAACTACTCAACTCTGCCCATGTAGCAGGGAAAGTGACCTTAGACAATACGTCAACAGATGGACATGGCTGTGCTCTGATAAAACCCTGTTGACACAGACAAGCTGTTTGCAATCCCTGAGTCAGAAGGAATGTTTACTACCCTGTTTCATGTCTCTGTAGGCTCTCCCTTAGGGATAGGAGTTCCCAGTTTCTGGTGTGTGTGACACAGTACTTGGGTATAGGATGAAACCTTGTTTAACTGTTTATTTGTTGGATTTCAGGAGGCTGGTGGCATGTTGTCCTCAATCTCGACACTACTATCGCCATCACCCAAAATTTTGCCAGCAGCACCAACTTCCCTGTGGTATGGCACAAGACGGTAAGAGGGAGACCAAAGCTGTCAAGGAAGTGGTATAGGTGAGAGTCATTTTTCTTCTTTCTGCCTTCAGTTTCTACCCCAGAGATGAAATGGCTGCAATGCCGTGTGCTGATCGTAGACAGGCCTGGGGCAAGCGGGGGCTGCTGATCCTCTGGGTAGAGGAGAGAGGGACCAAGGTCAGGGCGACCAACCTCAGGGTATTTGCCGGCCTCAAGGTGGCAGGGTGAGACTCTGCATGGTGAATCCAAGCCACTCAGTCAAACATGATCATCGTTGGGATTGTTTCTCGTTTCATTTTGTTTTTTGTTTTTTTCAAAGCTAGTGCTAGCTAAATAAATTACTTTATTTGGGTTTTGTTTGGGTTGTTTCTTTTTCTTACCCAGAAGCATTATTCCCATTTGAACTTAATCCCTTCAGTTCTTGTGAGTGAGGTGACTGCCCTGGAGACTTAGCTCCTCTGTTTATCCACAGAACAGATACAGCACGGGCAGCGGCAGTGCACGCCACCCACAGCCACCCCGTGCCACTGTGTCCCAACCCTGACCTGGAGGGACCAGCTCTCGGGGTAAGAGAGGGATTCTGGCTTATTCCATGCTCAGCCTCCCTGCTGAGAGGGCCAGTAAGGGTGGTGGCTTCTGTTCTCCCTGGACTCTTGGGCATCTGAGCCCACTTACCCTGCCCCGTGGGCCACTGCGTGCTGTGATTTGGTCACACTGCAGGCCTTATCATACAACAGGTCTTTTGCCACTGGTTAAAGTGGCTGCCAGACGAGGTTCCTGAAGGGGAGGGCTGCTGCTCTGAAGTCCAGTTCTGCTTTACGATCCAAGTGAGGGGGGGCATCTCTGTTATTTGACACCTCGTATTTCTTACAAACCTAATTGTTTCTACTCTTAGAAATAGAATCTAACCAACCCAACTCCGATCATTATGTGCTGTGCTGTGGAAAAGAAAGGTTTTTTTAAAAATCAGCTGGGAAAGATTCAGGAATTAAAACTAGGAAGAGGAACCATTTCTCCCCAGGGAATAAAACTAAGACTAACTTAAGGAAAACTGTGCCTCGAGCGTTGGTGGCATGGCTGGCTCATTTGTGCAGGTGGTAGTAAATTGTGTGTAGTTTATATGCAGTTTTCCTTGCACCGTATTGAGCTTCTTTTCTTCCCAGCCTGGGGTTTTGTCCTCACCATTATACAGTACCCTTCCTGAACTGACACACCTGGTAATTCCAGGTGTTTCTGAAAGATACAGGTCTCAGCTCTCAGTGTGAGCCCTCGTGAGTGGATACTGTTCTCTGTCGGTGCGCTGAGAACAATACTTCTTGCCTCTCAGGATCTTGAAGCAAGAGCACCCCGAGTTGGCAGTCCTGGCGGACTCGGTTGACCTTCAGGAGTCCACAGGGATAGCCTCCGACAGCTCCAGTGACTCTTCCAGCTCCTCTAGCTCCAGTTCATCAGACTCCGACTCAGAGGTGAGGTCTTGCTCATTGACTGGCTTATGGAGCCTCCAGAGCTCATGTCACTCAGCTACACCAGGTGTGACTCTTCCCCCTCCTATCCAGAAGGAGAAGTATGTCAAAGTTTTTCCACCTTGTTCTAAGGGTTACAGTTGTCACCATTCCTGCTGAGTAGGGTATCTTGCCCACGTTACAGCTTTGCACATGGCATGAATTGTTAAAATAGCCTCAAGAGGCATAAAGTGTTTGGGGATTTAGTGAAGTAAATGGCTCAAGATCAAGCAGCAGTGTCAGATTCAAACTCATCCTTCTGAAGACTTTTCCCCCATGGAAGCAAATTGTAAGCCTAGAAATTCTGCAAATCCAGTGACCTTAAACTTGAAGCTGACAGTAATACTGGGTGAGAGGGCCCTGCATCTTTAACAGATGAAATTTCCATCTCAGCCTGGCGCGGTGGCTCCCGCCTGTCATCCCAACACTTTGGGAGGCCAAAGCGAGTAGATTACTTGAGGTCGGGAGTTCAAACCAGCCTGGCCAAATGACGAAATCCCATCTCTACTAAAAATACAAAAATTAGCCAGGCATGGTGGTGCACACCTCTAATTCCAGCTACTCAGGAGGCTGAGACACAATAATCTCTTGAACCCAAAAGGCAAAGGCTGCAGTAAGATTGCACCACTGCACTCCAGCTTGGGCAGCAGAGTGCGACTTTGTCTCAAAAAAATTAAAAAAATTCTGTCTTTTTGAGACTTTGTCTCAAAAAGAAAAAATACCCCCAGTCTGCTGATTTAGTCTTTTCTCGTTGGGCAGGAGGGGGCTCTGGGAATGTTCAGTGCTGTACCGACTTCCTTTCATGCATCGGGCTCTGTTGGTAAAGTGAAATCTCATAATGCAATTTCAGAATGCCGACTAAAATATTTTTACAGTCGGTATCTCTTGTTTTTTTTTGTTTTTGTTTTTTGAGATGAAGTCTTGCTCTTTTTCCCCAGGCTGGAGCGCAATGGCACAATCTCAGATTTTGTTCTCCTGCCTCATCCTCCCAAGTAGCTGGGACTACAGGCATGCACCACGACACTTGGCTAATTTTGTTTTTTTAGTAGAGACGGGGTTTCTCCATGTTGGCCAGGCTGGTCTCCAACTCCCAACCTCAGGTGATCTGCCCACCTCAGCCTCCCAAAGTGCTGGGATTACAGGTGTGAGAGCCAATGGACCAGGCCCAGCAGTGGGTATCTTTCTCAAACAAATAACTGCACCATTAGGAGAGCAGTGAAGGGACACTTGCATCTGAGGGAAGTTTGAAATTCTTAGGGAGCCAGGAACATCCGAGGAGGTAGCTATGAAGGCTGAGCTGTGGAGCTGCCATAATGACTGCTTTGCATCTGGGAGAAAGTAACCAATATCTGTGCTGTCTCCCAAGGGCAGAGGTTTGTTTAATGAGGAAGTGGGTTGCGTCCAGGCTGACTGCTTGTTTTCTCTCCTCCCGTGTCCAGTGCGAGTCTGGATCTGAGGGTGATGGGACAGTGCACCGCAGAAAGAAAAGGAGGACATGCAGCATGGTGGGAAACGGGGACACCACCTCCCAGGATGACTGTGTCAGCAAAGAGCGCAGCTCCTCCAGGTGACCGAGCAAGGCTGTTGTCTGTGTGGAAGGACATGCGGCGAGGGCAGGGCCTGGGGAGGGTGGCCTGTCCAGTCCGGCGGACGAGGGGAGGCCTGACAGCCTGAGAATGAGGACACCCTCAGCATGGGAACCCGTTCACTTAACGTTTGCTCCAGTAGCTTTCCCTCTGCTACCGATGCAGATGAACACACTTGTTCTACTAAGAAAGGCAAGAGAATGTGAATGGTGCCAAGAAAACCCCTTACATTATTTAATAAAAATTGAATCCATTTTATATCTTGGAAATGTTTTCCTTTGAGAATGCCAGAACGTGCCCTCATTGCTCTTCTCCTTGGGTGGCCTTGGGGGAAAGCAGACTCCTGCTGTGCATCCTTGACTGGAAAAGTTACCCGGCATCTTCTGCAGAACCAGAGGCGCAGCCTCTTGCTTTTCTCCCAGTTTGCCATTGCTGCTTGAGTGCTCAGCCAAAGCAGACAGCAGCAGAGAACTCTTGATTTATCAAGTCTTCCTTTTTTTTTTCTTTTTGAGACAGAGTCTTGCTTTGTTGCCCATGCTGGAATGCAGTGGCGTGACCATGGCTCACTGCAGCCTCAACCTTCCAAGCTCAAGCAATCCTCCTGCCTCAGCTCCCAAGTAGCTGGGACTACAGACTCATCCCACCACACCCAGCTAATTTTTCTTTTGAGACAGAGTCTCGCTCTGTCCCCCAGGCTGGAGTGCAGTGACATGATCTCAGCTCACTGCAACCTCTGCCTCCCAGGTTCAAGCAATTCTCCTGCCTCAGCCTCCTGAGTAATGGGGATTACAGGCATGCACCACCATGCGTAGCTGATTTTTTGTATTTTTAGTAGAGACGGGGTTTCACCGTATTGGCCAGGCTACTCTCAAATTCTTGACCTTGTGATCCGCCTGCCATGGCCTCCCAAAGTACTGGGATTATAGGTGTGTGAGCCACTGCGCCTGGCCAGCTAATTTTTATTTATTATTATTTTTAGTAGTGACGAAATCTGTGTTGCCCAGGCTGGTCTTGAACTCCTCACCTCAAGTGATCCCCCCACCTCAGCCTCCCAAAGCAGTAGGATTATTACAGGCATGAGCCACCTCTCCTAGCTTTTATAAAAACTTAACCATGTCTCCAAGTACAAGATTGGATGTAAATAAGTTAAGATTTACAGTGGTAGTGACCAGCACATCAATAAGGTAATCTGTTTGCAAGCGCCTGGGCATGTAACAGGCTCATAATGAAATCTGTTCACTCTGCATTGGTCTAGGGTCTTTAAATGCCACAGGTCTTTGTTTGATGTGCTTGTTGAAGTGTTAAGGGAGATAGTTGGAAGATAGTAAAATACCAAAGTTGAAGCTGGGTGTGGTAGCTCACGCCTGTAATCCCAGCATTTTGGAAGGACAAGGCAAGAGGATCGCTTGAGCCCAGGAGTTCAAGACCAGCTTGGGGAATATAGTGATACCCTGTCTCTTAAAAAAAAAGAAAAAAAAAAAGTTTTTCTTTAATACTGACATTCACAGGATTTTGAATGTCTGAAGCTCTAGACTGCTGAAGGTGACATTTCTGTTACGTTCTGTCTCCCAGCAGCTGAGTCTTTTTAAAATGCATTGGGGAAGTGCAGGACCCACAGCCCCTGCTATCGTGTATTCTCCATTCTCTGTGGTTTAGCTGAAATTCCATGAGGAAATTCAAGTGACTTACTCAGGTGAATTTATCAAACCTGAATAGCATTTCTCAACCATAGTTGTCCTTTCACAGTCATACTTAGACTCTTCTTGCCCTTTTAAATTGTTTCTGTTATTATAGATTTATATCTGCGCTTGATCCATGACTTTGTAATTTGTAAGAAAACTTTGGAGGAAGCCCTGCCATGACTTCCACATGGGGTCCCGGGGGTCCTGCTTTTAACATTGCCTTCCAGCTTTGCATGGAAGCTTTTGCTGTCTACGTGCTGATTACAGGCAGTTGTACTTTCCTTGGCAGGATTAGGGACACTTGTGGAGGCCGGGCTCACCCCTGAGCAGATAAAGAGACTCTCCCTGAGGTGGCTTCATCGTAAGCTTTTGGCAGCCACCCAACTCAGTTCTCGCATCTTCTGCTCCTACCTTCTCTGTCTTCTTTGAATTTGGATATTCCTTCCCTGGTCCAACCTCCTCTCTTCGATCAAATGCTGTTTTTACTGCTTCCTAAGGATAGATTTTCAAGAAGTTTAACAGCTCAGCCAGCTCAGTGAAACACAAGCTAATGTGGTGTTGGGTAAGAAGGTTCTGTGCCGTCTCATTGAAAACCAAGCCAGTCAACTGCAAGGCTGGCGGGGTGTGATCTTTGTAACGTCTTGTTGTGTCTGTTACCTCACGGATGTCAGTAAGCAGCTTCCACAGAGCCGGCTGTGTACCGCAGAGACACTGAGCGTGGTGTGTGGACTTTGATCTGTCTATGAGCCAATCGTGTCGGAAAGACTCGGAGTCCGCGCTCCTTCTGGTATGTCGCCATCAGTCCAGAGATGCATTCAGTGGCAGTGACCAGCACCATCACCCACCGCTCAGTCTGTCTTATGGTTCCTTACCTTTTCCTCCACCATCACAAAGACTGTAACATTTGAGGGGTGTTTGTGCATGGTGTATTTTTTGGGTGGTGATACATTGAGTTTTTTGTTTGCATAGAATGGGGGATGGTGTTCAGTGTGTTCTTACCACAGAACTTAAAATATGAATAGGCTCATTATTCCCCACCACAGGATCCATCAGAAGCGCTCACTGTGCGAGGTACTCTTGAGATTAGTGTTCCCATTTGCTTGACCTGCAGACACTAAGTGGGTGGCTTGTGTTACACATGGGGAGTGAATTCAGAGATGCCTCTAGTCTTTGGAATCTTGATACTTCTAAAGAACTGGTATGACTATTTGGGGATTGACCAGCAGATGCCATCTCTTGCCCTCTTGATTCACCTGCTTGCCTTAATTTGTTCCTAAATTCCAACTGTACTTAAATAAAAAATAAGAGGGGTTTGTGAAGCCTGTGGTGCCCACTGGGAAGCACTGCCTCGGCTGGAGTAGTGGAGGCATTCGCAGACAGGAGGGAAGGAGTATTCCACGGGCACGGATGGAGGCTGTGTGTGGATGCGTTAGGATTGTGTGCTGTTGCCTCTCAAAATACCCACTAGAAACATGTATAATCAGGAGAATACAGGCTCTGCCCACTGTTCACTTATTAACAGATTGTCATTTCCTGGCATTGGGTCATGTGGCTTTAGAAAGCTGGTTCGCTCTTTTTGCCTTAGTTCAATTTTCTGCATCCTAAAATGCCAGCCCCGGTGTGTGGCTGGGTAGACAAAACTGTGCTGCCTGCCTGCCATGGGGGCTGTTCTCCCTCCTCATCCCCGCACCTGCAGCTCCCTCAGTTACGTGGTGGGCACAGGATGTGCTTGGGTGTGAGTAAAGTCAAACCCTGAATGTAAAATCTCTTGGTAGTAATATCCGAGTGGTGTTGCTCCTTCTGCTTTTTGAAAAGCTTTTCTTGCCATCTTCAAAAGCTTACTTTTCCCCAGCATTGCTCCTATGCTGCCATACTTGGCCTTTTTCCTTATTTCCTCTCAATTTTGTATCAGCGACTCCTCTCTAAACTTCAGTTCAAAATTAAAAACAGCCCAAAAAAAGCTCTTTGCCACCAGGGGGCAAGGTGGAACACGTGGCCAGTGGTCTGGAGAGTGGAGCAGAAATTTTGAATTTTAAGACTTAGCCTTGGCCGGGCGCGGTGGCTCACGCCTGTAATCCCAGCACTTTGGGAGGCCGAGGCGGGTGGAACACGAGGTCAAGAGATCGAGACCATCCTGGTCAACATGGTGAAACCCTGTCTCTACTTTAAATACAAAAAATTAGCTGGGCACAGTGGCGTGTGCCTGTAATCCCAGCTACTCAGGAGGCTGAGGCAGGAGAATTGCCTGAACCCAGGAGGCAGAGGTTGTGGTGAGCCGAGATTGAGCCATTGCACTCCAGCCTGGGTAACAAGAGCAAAACTCTGCCTCAAAAAAAAAAAAAAGACTTAGCCACCCAGGCCAGGTACAGTGGTTCACACCTGTAATCCCAGCACTTTGGGAGGGTGAGGCAGGGGAATCGCGTGAGTCCAGGAGTTCGAGACCAGTCTGGGCAACATAGTGAGATCCCGTCTCTCAAAAAAATAGTAATTTAGAAAATAAAGATTAGCCACCCAGTCTTCCTTTTCCAGATGCTAAAGTTGATTCCTATTTGATAACAGTATCCAAAAATGAGGGGAATAACACATTTCTGTTATTCAGCTCTCCTGAAGGTGTCTGGAGAGTAAGGATTATGTACTTCTGTGACATGCTTTGTTCGTTCCTGCCAGGCCAGGGATACAGCAGCCCTTCCCCCCAGCCCCCTTACTGTCACTGTGGGCTAGCCAGGCTTGTTGTTACGTAAGCACAGCAGGGGCGAGGTGGAGCAACTGTGTGTGAGAAAGGACTGGAGCAGTGGTGGGTGGTCAGGGTAGAGTAGGAAGCATGGGTACCCAGAGACCACCTGTTCAGACGTTGACTCTTCTACCCATCTGGCATAAGGTATTCCATTGAATGGTACCAGCAACAGTGAAGTGAAGGAGATAATGTTAGATTATTTTCAGGGATGATTCTGCAAGATGACAGCAAATCTTAAAACCAATGAGCTGGTCCTAGAAGAAGGGATCTTGAACTGTTAACTTCTGATGGATGGAGCAGGGTGGGAGAGACATGAGTGGGGGATCTAGAACATCAGGAGGGCCTGGCTGTCTCTGTGAATGTGGCTTCACCATCAGCCCGAAGAATCCATACTGCACACATGTGCCTCTGCAGTTAGTGGTGCTGGGATGTTTAGGGTGACATCCTGAGGGGAAAGCCACTAAAAAGAGGGGCATTATTTACATTTTGCTGTATTCTTGCAGCTGTCCATGTCTTAATAATTCAAGTGTGGAGCCGATGTTTGAGGGCCAGGCACTGCTCTGGGTGCTGGAGATGTGGTGACAAGCCCAGGTCCCTGACGAGCTCCACAAGCTTACTGGACAGTGGCTGTGCAGCTGTTCACAAGGCTGCTGGGGAGGGTGGGTAGACCTGTGCCTGTGCATTTCCACAACCAGAAAAGGTAGTGCAGACCTTCTTAAATGCAGGTGTACTAGATCTACATCCAGGAGTGTGATTCATATAGCTGTATACTTAAGGTAGTAACAGTTTCTTCATAAGGTAGCAAAATTAAGGATCCGTGGGAAGGTTACTGGTGCAGGTGCTTTACAGACTTACTAGAAACTCAGCCTTGGATTTAGGACATTAGACAAGAGTATAGGATGGAACAAAATTTTTGCAGTAAATGTAAAATATGCTGTGTAGGAGGCAGGCATTATAAGGATACCCCAGCTGTAGATTCTTTAGATTGTCTATAGTATTTCCATGAGTAAGTTGTTTTTGATACGTGTGCTGGTACTGCTGGTGGATTTAAAGTGGAGTCTGGTGGTGGCTTCCACTCTGCCTTCTCACTAGCTTATGTCAAGATGTGACATTGTATACAGCAAAACTAGATGAACTTGCACCCACACTCAGTGGCTCTCAACTTTGTCTCATTATTAGTTCAGAAATTTTGGCCAGGTGCCATAGCTCACTCCTGTAATCCTAGCAGTTTGGGAAGCCAAGGTGGGTGGATCACTTGAGGTCAGGAGTTCAAGACCAGCGTGGCCAACATGGTGAAACTCCTTCTCTACTAAAAATACAAAAATAGCCGGGCATGGTAGCCCACGCCTGTAATTTCAGCTACTTGGGAGTCTGAGGCAGGAGAATCACTTGAACCCGGGAGGCAGAGGTTGCAGTGAGCTGAGATTGTACCACTGTACTCCAGCCTGGGCTACAGAGAGAGACTCTGTCTAAAAAAAAAAAAAAGAAATGACATCTAAGCCCCACTGAGCCTCTTGGGAGGAGAGCTAGCCTGGGTCAGCTGTCTCCACCGTGACTGGAAGCTACGGAGGAGCTGGGACTGTTACCTTCCCACTTGTGCATCCTGGAGTTGTCAACACCGAGCAGTCTCCTAGTTCTGTGTCCGTCATGGGGTCTGCCATGAAATGCCTGTGGATCAGCCATTGGGTTGGTGTTTTTAACTTTCACTTGGGTGAAACTTGTTCATCATTTTAAATAAAGCAACGTGATTTGTGTTTTTAGCATTGTTTGGTCTTTTTCTTTCCTACGCATTTGAAAGTCAATAGAATGTACTTTGTCAGCAGAACAGGATCTTTTAAAAATGTATTTATATTTTAAAACAATGGGATAGGGCACAAAATGAAGGCCCTGGGCCAGAAGCAGTGATACACACCTGTAATGCCTGCTGCCCAAGAGGCTGAGGTAGGAGGATAACTTGAGCCCAGGATTTCGAGGCTGCAGAGAGCTATCATCATGCCTGTGAATAGCCACTGCACTCCAGCCTGGGCAACATAGTGAGACCCTGTCTCTTTAAAAAAAAAAAAAAAGAAAAGAAAAAGTAGGCCCATAAACTGGCTGAAAGTTCCACAGTGGTCAAAAGGTAGTCGCCCATAGCTAAAGCCTATTCCACATTTTATAGTTCGGGGGCTCTTTTCATCAACCACTACTAAAAGGCCCTCTTAATATCAAGCAGTGCAGCAGGATTCAGCTCTCCCTGTTGCTGGGGGCCTTGTTTGGGTATCTTTCATTTAAAAAGAAGCACTCCATCTAACATCTTGGTTTGTATCACACATCAGCTTAGGCACTGTAATATTCCCAAAAAAGTATTAAATGCATCCTAAGCAAAAACTGAAACTGTGTTTCTTTAACATTGGGCCTTATGTTTGGCATGATACCAGGCATGACCCTCCTGTTTATTAAAAATAACTAAAGAGTTGGCTGGGGAGTGGTAGAAAAATTCGCTTTTGGTTACAACGTATTTATCTCAAAATCCACTGTTCAGCAACAAGGGCCAGGGAGGATCTGGAGAAACAAAAGCAATGGCCTTCATTTCCTTCAGGGCACCCTTCCACCCTGCAGGCATTCTGGACCTGTGCAAAGAAAGTCCGGTAAGAGGGATGGCGTTGACCAAAGACCTGCAGCTGAATTTTAGGTCTAGGGGCCGGGAGTGGTATTACCAGCATGCCTATGTTGAAGGCTGCTGGCCTCAGCCCTGAGGCACATTCTTGGGCCGGGATCTGGAGATGTCCACTGTGAAAATGCATTAAGGCAACCCTAAGGATTGAAAGCAACTACTGACATGCCTATAAAACGGCAGTGTTTGAACGTAGTCCGGCTTTATGGTTGCTTTTTGTTGTTTTACAAGGCAATCCAGGCCGTCGTTTCCATGAACCTTCCCAGGTTTACTTTTCTCTCTGCATTCCCCACTTAGTACGTATATTTCCAAAATGCTCTAAGATGAACTGCTGTACCAAGGCGAAAAGATGACAACCTAAGGGCACCTGATAACAGTATTTCAAATTGAACCTGAGCTCAGTTAAATAGTGCCCCAAAGCGTCGTCTGCCCAGGCCTGGCAGGGGTTGGCCCTCCTGAGCCTCTGCGGGAGGGGGTCAGGGTTCTGCCCCCCCACATCCCCGCCCCCAGCCTGTGCGTCACCCCGGGGGGGAGGATGCCGGGGGCGGGGTGCAGGGACGGGGGCTCCGCCCCGGGGCGGGGCGCGGCAGCGGGGCGCGGCGGACTCCCTTGGGGTCCCGGCCGGCTGGCACTCGGCGGCGGCGCGATGGAGGCGCCAGCCGAGCTGCTGGCCGCGCTGCCTGCGCTGGCCACGGCGCTGGCCCTGCTGCTCGCCTGGCTGCTGGTGCGGCGTGGGGCGGCCGCGAGTCCGGAGCCCGTGCCCCCGGCCGAGGCCACCGAGGCCCCGGCGTTGTCCAGCCCCTACGCCCCCGAGTCTGCGGCCGTGCCCGCAGAGCCGGAGGAGCCCGGGGAGCCCGCGGGGCCGGAGGAGCCTGGGGAGCCCGCGGGGCCGGGGGAGCCGGAAGAGCCGAGGAAGCCCACAGCGGCGCCAGCGGAGGCGGAGGAGCAGACAGCGGAGTCGAGGCAGGTACGCACCGGGGCCCCCGCAGCGCCCTCCCCACCCCCGGGGCTCCTACCGCTGCTGCTGAGCCCCGCCGAGCCAGGGAGCGGGGCCGCAGCCTCCAGGCCAGGCTGCCCCCAGAAGCACAAAGCCCACGGCCCACAGGAAATGCGGGTCCGCCGTGCTAAGCCTCAGCCCCGAAAACTCACCGCCCTCCCCCAGAAAGTGTGGCGAGGGGCGAGCCTGAAGGAGTTTGTTGGGGCGTCTCGCTCTCCCCTCCCCTCGCCTCCCCCAGCCCAGGGCGTGCTCCGCAGCTGCTGGCTCCCAGGCCTCCGGACTTGGAATTTTGCTCCACACCCACCTCTGACCCCTCCCGCCCACCGGTTCCCAAATCCACGTGCTTGTGGCTTATTTCGAGGGCTGCCGTGAGAGTTATGTTGATGTTGAAAAAGTAGTACTTGGGGGTGAGGGAGGAAAGCTGACTTTTCTTTTTCAGCCAATTTGAACTCCAGATTTGAGTCAGTACTGTGGCGTTTTATGAAGCCTGTAGGCTGGGACTGAAAGAAAAGGCACCCGATCCCGGCAGTCCTTTTCCTTGTCGTTTTCAAGCCGCACATCTGTCTCCTAACACCCTACTGCCCCCACCCCCGGGTAGTAGGTAAGCCCGGCCTGGAGGGAGGGAAGCTGCAGGATAAAGCCCTCCTGGAGCAGCAATAAGCACCCCAAAGCTCCCTCCCTGCCTCTGCCCCAGGCCTCCCCCTGCCGTCCATCAGCTTGGCCCCGCCACCCTGTCCTGCCTGGGGATATCAGGAGAGGAGTCGGATTTCCCTCATCCAGTCATCCCAGCCCCTACACTCTAGACTGGAAACCTATGTGTCCATGTCCCCAGGAGTTCACCGCGCTTGGCTGGTCCAAGCCACCGCCAGGGTCTCCAGTCGGATTGTAATCCCTTGTTCTTACCCCTGAGCTCCTTTTCTTGGAAGGGAGGAGAGCCGGGCTGCGTTGTCAGCGTGTCTGCATGCCCACTCTGTCCTGTGCTGGACACAATGGTTTACCCTGGAGAGAAGCCCTTCGGGGGAGGAGGAGGCAGCCCGGCAGTGCTCAGAGGCATTTCTGTTTGCTGTGTAAGTGCGCCAGACCCCCTCTGAGCAGGCGCTTTGCTTGACAAGTGGGTGACTAATTGTGTCATTAGAGAGGACTCTAACCCAGCCCATTTAATGGGATGGAGGCGGGGCAGGCCCTGCCGTTCCTTCTTGGAGTAGGCTTGCAGACCTGACTGGGTGATGGTGGAGGGGGTGGGTTTGGACATGTGCTGATCTTTTGTGTTTGCTCCCATATTTGGGATTCCTGCCTCCATCGAGGTCTCGTGGGAGCAGGAGAGGCCTATAGACAGTTCTGGAGCGGTCATGCAGCCTCAGTCAGCCCTGGCCTTACAGGGCTTTGTCACCCACACCAGGCTCTGGACTGAAGTGCAAAATGTCCTTTAGCGGCACCCTGTCGGATCTCAATCCTGTGGAGTAGGGCGCTTTAAGAACTTTCTACAAGGCCTTTGGACTCTCAGCATATATGATACCTACAGGAATAGGTTCAGTGGTGTTTAAATAGGGGCCCTCGAATCATTTGCTTCTCTAGGTGAATACACGTCCTCTCAGGCTGAATGGGTGCTCTGAAAGACAAGGCAGTACAGAGGTTCACGTGCCAGGGAGCCCCCTTGACATAGGGGCCAGTGAGGATGACTTGAGGCTTGTGTCTGTCCTCCCAGTAAGGCATCCTCTGGAGAGAACCCACCGGATAGGAGAATTCAGTTGAAGTCAGTGCCCTTCCGCTTTGGGCCCTCCTGAGCTGGCCAAAGCTCCCAAAACTCCTGCGTGCAAACATTAAGCCAGGTGCTATAGGGACACAGATACTGTGTCATTCATCCCACCCACTCCCAGTGGTGGCATTAATCTAAGAAGCTGCTTAGAAATTGTCTTGATGAGCTTCAAGTCAGTGACAAGCAAAAAAAAAAAAAAAAAAAAAAAAAAAAAATGGAGAAAGGAAAAGAAATTGTCTCGGAGTGGACTCCAGCGTTTCTAAGAGCTTTCAGTGCTTTCTTCTGATGATCACACTGCTGGAGCTTGGAGGATGGGGGCCGGGGGCAAAGGGGAGAGTTCCCCTGGGGAAGATAACTCAAATCGGGGTTGGGAAGTGGGCCAGTGCCCTCTGCCAGCCTCCTCCCTCCCTCCCTACTCGAACCCCACTCACAGCAAGGGAGGAGGGCAACTCCACCTGCTGTTAGCTGGGAAGTCACTGCCCTGGGGAGCAGCGCTTAACTCACCTCTCCCCTCCCTCTTCGTTTTCCATTAACTGCTTCCTTTCTAATCCAGTCCCCTCCCTTCCCAAGGAGGCCTGGGTAGGCTGGGGCAGCTGCTGCCCCTGACTACAAAGCTGATTATTGAGAAGGATCTCTCGCCCTGGGAAGCAGCCTTCAGCTGCTGTTGGGGATCACTCAGGAGCATCCTTGAGGCACACTGTGCCCTCTTTGGCTAAGGACAAAGTGGTGGGGAGGGGCCACTACGGGCTGAGACCCCGGAAAAATGGACCAAAGAAATGGGGGTGAGATCAGCGCAGCCCTTACCTCCCCAGGGCAGCACAGGCCAGGGCAGGGAGGCAGAGGAGAAAATGATACTGCTGGAACCTCCTTTCTCACCTAAGGATTAGCGAGGGGTGGGCAGCGGAGGAAGCATTATGATCATGTCCTGTTCACACAAAGAATCATGAGCCAACAATGTCAAGAACAAGAGCTGGCCCCTTTTCAGGCCAGCAGTCAGGGCTTTCCTGGTGCTCCTGTGTAGGTTGGGGTTTTAGGATCGCCAGGCCTCTTACCTAATGTGGATTTGAGCCAGGCTGTATGGTCAGATTCCCAAACGGTGGCCACTGGCAAAGGGTCAGGGGTCATTTGAATGGCACTAGAGTTGAATCTCCTGTCTGTGCCAGGACTCAAACATCTCTGTGCTTGGGGCCTAGCTCTGCTCAAAGACTGAGTAGGGACTTCCTGCGAGGCAGCGGGCTGGCGTCATGAGGCACACAGAGAGACTCTTCTAGATTTAATTGGGATTTAGGAGATTAAAGCAATATGACAAATAAATACAATCTTGATCCTTGATTGGATTCTCCATCAGCGATAGGAGTAGGGAGCTATAAAGGACATACTGGAGACAATTGAGACATTTTTTAAATGAATGGGTGTGTTAGGTAATCTTGTTGAATCAATGCTGAATTTTTTGTGTATGATACTGGCAGATGGCTGTGTAAAAAATGTCCCTGTCCTTAGGAGGATGCATGCGGAAGCATTTTGGGATGACATGTCATGATTCAAATGGTTACAGTGTGGGTGTGTATGGAGAGAATGCAGAGAGGCAGAATGTTCACAATTGGTGGGTCTAGGTGAAGGGTGTGTGGTATTCATTGTATTGTTCTTTCAACTCTTCTGTAGGTTTGGAGTTTTTCAAAAGAGAATGTTAAAACAAAGAAGCCCAGTGGGACATTTCTTGGGAAAGGGGTTGGTTTTTCAGACACTCTGCTGGTGGTGGTCTGAGTGGGTAGCACAGCCTCCATCTGTGTGTCTTCACCATGTGACTCAGCCCTGGTTCCCCTGAAGTCATCCTGCTGTCAGGTCCACCTGTGTCCTCTGCCCTCACCAGCCTGTTCACCATAGATGTGACCCGTGGAAGCTGCAGAGACCCCAGCCTTCCCAGAATGACCCAGGGGCAGGTGAACATCCCCATCATCTGTCCTGAGCTTTGTGATGGCACTGTGGTCCTATTTTCTGTTCTCTTACCAAAACCTCAGAAGCCAAGTAGTGGAGGGCCAAATGGATATTTGGCAGTTGTTTATATCACTTTGGATTCTTGTCTTTAAGCATCTTAGGCTGATATATCAAAATACCACTGACTGGATTGCTTAAGCAACAGACATTATTTCTCGTACTTCTGGAGGCTGGGAAGTCCAAGATGGAGGTGTTGGCAGATTCCAGTTTTGGTGAGGGCTCTCTTTCTGGCTTGTAGACAGCCACCTTCTTGCTGTACTTTCACATGGTAGAGACACGGGGATGTCTCTTCCTCTTCTTATCAGGGTCCTAGTAGCATTGTAAGGGCTCCACCATCGTGACTTTATCTAAATCTCACCTCCTGAAGGCCCCCCCTCGGAGTACCATCACACAGTGGGTTAAGGCTTCAACATATGGATTTGCAGGGGACACAAATATTTAGTCCAGAACAGGCCTAGTGACTTACTGTGGCAAAAACTAGAAATAATCCAAATGTTTATTAATTAGGACATTGGATTCATTAGCAAATTGGTATGAAATAAGTAAAAAGGCAGAATGTAAAATATTGTATTCACAGTAATCACAGCGATATACAGCAGCTGAATAGAAGACGCCTGAGAAGGAAGTCTTCTTCACATAGTGAAGACGCTTCACATAGTGAAGCTCCATGTTCAATACTTCTAGTGGGTATTTTTTGGTAAAGTTGCTTAAGCGCATAATTTAATTTTTTTCCATATATGAAAAACAGTTAGCCCAGGGGCTTTCCTAATGGCTAAACTTTGTTCTTTCAGAGAGAAAGCATCTTGGTTACAGACTAATGTCAGTTGGAATTTTCTACTTAGCCAGAAGTAGTACATTTTTCAAGAATAAGACTTGAGAAAACAAGCCACCTAGCTTGGGAGAGTTAGAAGTAAAATGGTGAGCATGTTCACCTGCAGGCAGTTGCTTTTCTGTAGCCCTGCTCTTTCCCAGTCAGCCCAAACCACAGTGTGGGAGGAGCGAGACCAGCTTAGGCCTCTGGTGGACAGTCTTCCAGAGAAATGGCAGACCTGATGGCCACGAGTATTCCTGGAGCAACCACCTGCATTTGACTACACTGGGCTTGCCACTGTTAAGGACAGATGCATGGAACAGGACGAGGAGGTCAGGTTCCGAGGCCCCTCCTCTAAGGGGGCCTCATGCAGAGCTGCTTTTGAGACAGAGTTTTGCTCTTGTCACCCAGGAGTGCAGTGGCGCAATCTCAGCTCACTGCAACCTCTGCCTCCCGGGTTCAAGCAGTTCTCCTGCCTCAGCTTCCCAAGTAGTTGGGCTTACAGGCATGCACTACCATGCCCGGCTAATTTTTGTATTTTTAATAGAGATGGGGTTTTGCCATGTTGACCAGGCTGGTCTTGAACTCCTGGCCTCAAGTGATCTGCCTGCGTTGAGCTCCCAAAGTGCTGGGATTACAGACGTGAGCCTGTTTCCAGCATTCTTATTGCTTGCTGCTTGATCAGAAGGCTGGAAAGGGCTGAGCACAATGGCTCATGCCTGTAACCCCAGCACACTGGGAGGCCAAGGCTGGAGGATCACTTGAGTTCTGGAGATAGAAGGTACAGTGAGCTCTGATCACACCACTGCACTCCAGTCTGGGCAATGAAGCAAGACCCTGACTCAAAAAAAAAAAAAAAAAAAATGCTGAAAAGGAAGCTGGAGGGTGCTACAGCAGTCATTCCAGTCATTCTGTCCCCCTCTGCAGGGTGCCAGAATCCATGCTGTTTTCTTTGTTTGTTTTCTCTTTTGTTTTTTTGAGAGGGAGTCTCCCTCTGTTGCCAGGCTGGAGTGCAGTGGCACAATCTCAGCTCACTGCAACCTCTGCCTCCTGGGTTCAGGTGATTCTCCTGCCTCAGCCTCCCGAGTAGCTGGGACTACAGGCGCCCACCACCACGCCCCTCTATGATGATGCTGTTTTCTGTACATAGGGTTGCACTGGCTAAAAAATGGCTATGTGAGATTTAATGGCCTAGAGAAAACCCATTGCAGGACTGGTGGAACTTACGTTAAAGTGCTTCGTCTGAATTGCCATAGGACTTAAAGAAGTGATTGTCCATGTCCACGGCTGTCTACTTTCCAGGCATCAGCTTCGGTTTTTTGTTTTTTCAATATGTTCCTTTTTTTTTTTGAGACAGGGCCTCGGCTGGTCCAATGGTGTTGGGTTATCAGAACTTATAAACGTTAGTGTCACTAAACTTGGTATACAACCCGCTACTGCTAAAGTTGACAGGCTTTAAAAAAAATAAAAATGACAGAGTCTCACCCTGTTGCCCGGGCTGGAGTGCAGTGGCACAATCTCAGCTCACTGCAACCTCTGCATCCTAGGCTCAAGCCATCCTCCCACCTCAAGACAAGAAAATTCCTCCAGCCCAGTGGTGTTCTGTTGTAGATGAGCAGGAAACCTACTCCACAGTCAATCAGCCATTAATCTTTCATGAAGTTCTTCCTACGGTGAGGCCTTCTCAAGATACACACACACACACACACACACACACGTATGTATATGTGTGTGTGTGTATGTATATGTATTTATTTAAGAGGGAGTCTCTGTCGCCCAGGCTGAAGTGCTATGGTGTGATCTTGCCTCACTGCAACCTCCCCCTCCTGAGTTCAAGCGATTTTCCTGCCTCAGCCTCCCAAGTAGCTGGGATTACAGGCGCATACCCAGCTAATTTTTGTATTTTTAGTAGAGATGATTTTTCACTGTGTTACAGGCAGGCTGGTCTCAAACTCCTGGGCTCAAGGGATCCACCCACCTTGGCCTCCTGAAGTACTAGGATTATAGGCATGAGCCACCATGCCCAGCCCCCAAGAGATTTTAAAAACTGACCACTGACCATCTGTCGTCGTCGTCGTCTTTTATTTATTTATTTTGAGAACCAGGCTGGGGTGCTGTGGTACAATCATAGCTCACTGCATCCTTGACCTCTTGGGCTCAAAGATCCTCCTGCCTCAGCCTCCTGAGTAGCTGGGACTGCAGGTGCACACCACCACACCCAGCTAATTTTGGTGTCTTGCTGTGTTGCCCAGGCCTGGTCTTGAACTCCTGGCTTCAATCCAGCCTCCTGCCTCTGCCTCCCAAGGCACTGAGATTACAGATGTGAACTGCTGTGCCCTGCCCTCATCTTCTATTACTATGTTTAAAGTTTGTCATGGTCAAAATTGTTCAGCTTCGTTTTCCCCGATAAAACTATGTCATTTTCTCCAACCCTCTTCCATCTGATTTTATCTGTCTCTTAGTTTTCCCCTCTGTCCTGTATCTTCTCTATCCTAAAATGTAGCCCCTAGAACTGGACCTGATCTCTGATAGGGGTTGTGGAGAGTAGAGATTCCTGCCCCAGAGTGTTAGGTTCTTGTTGTTGTTGTTTTCCTCTTTTGTTTTTTAAATAAAGCTTTTGGTGTCCTCTAAATCCTCTTTGCGGGAACATTGCCCAAAACGGTTAATCTGATACGATTGAGTCTGGCATGCCCCAGTCATCCGAGCGAGGGTTTGTTTAGGGCTTGTGAATGTGCCCTTGATTGGGATGTGAGGATGGAATGCAGGATGGTGCTTTTGGTCTGGACATGTGAACACGGCAGTGGCCCTGGACGGGAGCGGGGGCCCGGATGGGGTTGTGCTCCTCACAAGAACAGTGATTCAGCCTCTCCCCACAAGCCCCACCCACAACATACTCCCTCCTCGTCAGAGGCTTACCCTGCACACTTCCTCTGCTCTTTGCCCTGCCAGAAAAGCTCATGCCCATAATATCAACTTCAGGACTCCTGGACCAGGCCCGCCTTGCTGCTGTCCAGAACACCCCTGCTGCCCCCATCCCCCTGATCAATAGCTAATGGTGCCCACA